GCGGCTTTGGAAGTTGCACTTGAATGACCAAAAGTACGCTAGTCACCTGATTTTATTGTTGCATTACTACAGAAAAGTTTTGAGTTATAGCGCAAAATATTACTTCTTTTTTTTTTCTTCTGCGGTTTTTTTTCTTCTCCTCCTTTGTCCCCTTAGGGGCTCCATAGTTTCCCAAATGGGAGAATAGTATGAGCATAGATTTTAATAGAGACATTCCTTCCTGGCAGTTTTTCTCTTTTTCCCGTTTTTCCTTCCTGGTTGTGAGTTTAGTGACGTTGCACAGAATCCCAGAATTAAGCTAAAATAAAAACATTTCATTTTGTGTCTCACGGGGAAGCTTAAATCCAGATGACTGGATTTAAGATATCCCACGTTAAGTTAAGTTTACCTTAACTTCATTCATTTACATTTAGCCTAGGCTACCTAAAATCGTCAAGTTATGCATGAAATCCGGCGTCGTGATACAGCACCTTGATGAACTTTGTTAAATAATTGCCAGACATAAAAAGCATACATAGCACACAAAACTGATTAACTACCCCAGAGGCAAAATGGACTACTTAGACCAGTGGTCTTCACTGGGCAGCTCGCAGACCACTGGAGGCCCTCAGAGGCCAGTTTGGCGCCGTGTGACTGGATAAAAAAAATAAGCATTTAAGCAAAAAAATGACATCACATTTAATGATTTTTAATTTATATATTTTTTAAAATGTTTTTTAAAAGTTTTACATTATTTTTTTAATCTACTGTAGATGCAATACCACTTGCCCTCTATGACCAATGTCCTCTATGTAGTTAACAATCAAGTGAAGCGGCATCGATATTACTTCCGGCTAGCCAGCTTTTAAAAAGTGCACTGGTAAGCATGGCCCTCGTCACTGGCTTAGACAATGACGTAGTATAGATTTTGAGTTAGTGACAGTGACCCACATACTCCACATACCCCCAGTTTGTGATCAGCAGAGGTTGATGCGCGTGTGACTCTTTGCTCTCAGCACCTATAACGATAACAGAAACATGAGCACTAAGGTGTGCTGCGGGCAGTGTGTAGGCAGCATGGGATGTGCCCGCCTTCGACGTGGCATCCCGAGAGACTAACGCTCTCTTTGCCTGTGCCCCTCAGGAAGCAGGAGTCTACCCTGCCGTGCCCCAGCCCGCAGGTGTCCATGGCAACAGAGAAGCTCTGCTTCCCCGGCTGCCCCCGCCGCAGACGCAGCAGCAACGTGAAGCGGACGGGATGACACCGCCTGACAGGGCGCTCAGCGCAGCCTGTGCCGCTGTTCTTCATCTTTCCATCTAAGAGAGGGACACACTGACGCTGTCGTCCTGACCCACCACGGGCTGCTGACAGCTGGCAGCTGCAATCATCTCCTATTCCCTGCGCCCATGGCAACCACAACCCCACTTTCAAACTTCATCGTTGTTCGTCATTCCTCCATGAGTGTCCTGGAAGATGTTGCCCCAGAGAGGATGGGCGGTGGGGCAGCCCGGGGTCCCCTTCACACATCCATGGTGACACTCCTTCGGACCCTGTGCTTGTTTCAGTTTGCACACGTGTATGCGAATGTTGCTTACTTACTGGTGTGGAAGTGTTTTGTCATGTACTGGCAACTGACAGAAACACACATCCACATGGCCTGTCGGACTGCTAAGCAGAATGGGGTCTGAGACGTACTGATAATGTCACACGGCGGACGAGGAAGTCCACGATGCTAATCTCTGAAGCATTCACACCTACACGTATCAACGCTGAAGTGAAATTATAAGATCAAAAGGTATTTCAGTAGGAACTTCAGCTTGAGATATATTAGCAAATCACAGGAACAGCCCCAGCCTACAAACTTTGATCCTTTGATACGGTTTGTGTTTTCGATTGTTCATCTTCATTTAGCAGCATATTTGCACTGCTGAACGCGGTCTTGTGTTAACACCCCTGGCTGTAGCTAATGTCCTGCGATAAGCTGCTTCCCCAGTCCTGCCTTTGGCTGACACATCAAGAAAGCTTTTCTTTTGCTGACAGTATCAGTGCACAGGGAGGAAGTGCATTCATTTCATTTCAGATTTAGGCAGCTCATTAGTTGAGCCACACAGCCTTCAGAAACAGGAATGGTATTGCAGTTTCTTTAACCTTTTATAGGTATAATATACAGAATAATATTCTATTTTGTTAATAATTAGAGTTTATCTGATGTATGGTATAGAAGAAATCCTCTAAAACAAACAGTATGGAGACACTTACCGGGCTACTTCCTGTAGGCTATGCGTCATTTTGTTTGCCCCCCCCTCCACACACACACACACACACACACACACACACACACACACACACACACACACACACACTGTCCTGAGCTTTATAGTCATCCTTGTGTGTTCTGTCTCAAGCAAAATAAAAACTGATTATTAAGTTTTGCCCCAACCTTGGCTTTCAGTATGAAAAAAGCTTTATTTTCCTTAAATGTAACCTGGATGCACCGTTTCATGAATTAGTTCTTTGAGTACAGAATATAAATTGATGAAAAAAAAGAGGCAGAGATGAGAATGAAATGAAGAATGTGATATTTTTAGTGGATTTTTAGAGAAGACATCATGGGGCCAGTTCTGTGAAGGATTCTTGGAATCACTCACAGTAGGCACCTGGGTGACATGGCGTGACGCGGTGCGATTCGCATGCATCTGTCATGCGGGAGGGCGGATCATGTTTACAGACCACCTCCATGACCTCACAGGTGTCAGTATTAACCCACGGGGGCAGTGCTGAAACTTTAATAGGGGTGCGATGTCCGGCCCGCGGCTGACAGGAATCAGGTTTTACCACAGGAAGAGGAAACTCGCATTTCTCCTGCTGTCAATCAGCAGGTTATTCACGCTCCAGAGGAGTGCTGGGCTTACGGAGAGTTTCCACTAGGAGGATGTGGCCTGGGGCACAAAATAGGATGGCTGGATGGGTAACGAGGCCAGTAGAGCATGTGGGCGGAGATGCAAGCACTCCTTCACACACCAGCCTGTGTCCTCCAGCCACACAATTCAAGCCATGTCACCTGTGTCCTACATACTCTGTCACACCCCCGCCTCTGGCAGACATGCAGAGAGCTGCACATGCAAGCATATGTAGCTGACACACAAGTTTGAGCCATGTGGTGCAGTTATTTAAACGCTTACATAGAATGTATTGGCACATTATAATGTTTGGAGGCCACATCAATATCAACACCTTCCATCTCTGTCACAGACTGCCTGATTTCTTACTATGTGGATGCTTGAGCAATTGACTTCTGCACACCTCTACATTTCCTGGCAAGAAAATGCAGAGGACACGCCAATCAGAAGGCAAGACGGACACACGATGCATCATAGCGGAGAAGAGCAGGGGGGGGGGGACAACACCCGACACCAGTGGCAAGGCATGATCAGGTCACCTTCATTCAAACACCAAATTGAATTCACACCCTCCCCCGAGGACGGCCACAGCCCCACGGTGCGTGGGGGGGGGGACACAGAGGCTGACATAGACACAGAAAAAGGGGCCCCTAGTGGCGTTTTCCACCACATCAAGTACGGTACTTACACTTTTCCATTGACTTCAGGTCGAGTACCAGTACCAAAAGTTCCAGTATCGAAAGTGCGAAACCAGCTGGGGTACTTCTTTGGTACTTCAGTACTTTGGGGAGGGACTTTATTTGTCGATAAATTAAGTAAAAAAAAAATTGGGATTTGGTCATTAGAACATGTACAAGAAAAGATCCGGATGGCAAGGAAAAAAAAGGATGAGAAAAAGTATTTTGTTGAATATACTAATACAGCATGCATATACTAATATACTAATACAGCATGCATATAGCGTGCGGTCCTGCTGATGTGATTTTGTCGTAATAAATATTGGGGTATTTATAAAACAAAAAAGGAGCTCAAATTTCTCTCAAACCCATCTTCAAGTGATTTGAATAGCAAGGATGAAAATAATTACAATTATCTTGGAGAATGCATGCACATTTTTCAACATACTGTATAAGAATCTATAAAAGGAATAATAATTAAAATTGCAAAGCTTGCAAAGTTTTTTTCCTATCAGAGTAAAAAGAGAGTAAAAAGAATTTGAACCCCCTGAACTATGATGTCCGTACAGAAATGAAAGTAAGAAAAAGCCTGATCTTAATCTGACTAGCAATGTAAGAACTTAATGTGCATAATATGCGATGTTGGTATTAATATTGCACACCGTCCAGTCGATTAATTCGAATTCAGTACAAAATACCCCACCTCAAGTTGTGATGTCATTCAGTGCTGGTACCAGTTTTTACTCCAGTGGAAAACGGACACCTTGAAGTACCGTACTTTTGGTACTGTTACTGTACCGACAGTACGGTAGCTGCTGCGGTGGAAAAACGCCATAGGAGGCTTCAGGAAGAAGGTTCGGAAGCACCCTTCCTGGATGCCACCCAGCACCCACCATCTCTGGCAAAGTGACCACCCACCATGCTACATAAAGCTAGACAGGCAGTGGGGTTTCCTACGTGACACGAATGCTGCCATCGCAAGCAAAACGAGGCTGTTTCATCTCAGGCAAAATGATCCCAATGGCACAACAGCGGAGCGCAGAGATGACGGGAAACACCAGCCTGCAGGCACAGAGAGATGCACACACAGCACTCTAAATAAAAATCATTTATTCTTATGAATATTATTACACCTATAGCAGAGAAAGGTCCACAATGTCACTTCGGTAGTACAGCCCGATGTGAGAGATCAGGTCCGCAGGGCTGAACACAGAACTTGGGGGCAGGGTGGGGTCGGGAGGGGTGGGGGTAAACTCATTCTTCTCTTCCCTCCCCATGCTTGTTCTTATGGGGCTGGGGATAGTTTCCAAGAACCTGAGGGGTAATGATGGGGGACGGGGGTGGGGGGGAATTCTTTAATTTCAAAATTCTTTTAACATACAAGATAAGGGCAGCACTGAGATGTTCTTTCAACCTCATTAACCTGGTAGCTGGGAATGACTGGGGACAGCCACCCCAATACAGAGAGACTGCGTGTGCATGTGAGCTTGAGTGAGAGAGTGCATGTGAGTGTGTGTGAGAGTGTGCATATACATGTGTGCGAGTAACGGACAACAACCCAGTCTCTGTACACTTGAACATGTTTCTGCCACAAAGGGGTGGAAAACTGAGGTAAATATTTTCCTGAAAGAGAGAGAGAACAAACACAAATCAGAATTTAAATATGGCTGCTAGATTAACTTAAGTTAGCAAATGAGTCATTTGTATTATTCCGATCTTTGGGCTGTTGTACACACCCCTGGGGCCCCGTGTTCCCACCCCTGTCCCCGTCCCACCTGATCTCATCGTGCCGCAGTAGAGCCGCTGGACGCCAGAGAACCACCGGTGTTGGAGAGAGACTGGTCCTTCAGAACAGGATCTGAGGGGACAGAGGCATAATGGCAGCAATGAGGAACACACAAAAAATGGAGAAAAAGCAGAGCAGCTGGGAGTGAGGTGGAGGCAGGGCTGGGCTCAGACTCACAGAAGTAGGGGTGCTGCATGGCCTCGGTGGCTGTCAGGCGCTGCTGGTGGTCATAGCGCAGCAGCTTGTCCAGCAGGTCCAAGGCCTCGGGACTCACCAGGTGCTGGTTCTCCGACTGAACAAACTGTTCCCAGCGTTTCCGTGTCTGCCTGCAGGGGGCAGCAAGGAGCATCAGATGGCCCACTGTCAGTGTCCACTCTGAGAAGTGCTCTGGCAGACGCGGTGAAACAGGCAGCAAGCACACCAGACCAGCTTTGTGTCAAACTGCCAAATGACGCCCCAAGTGAAACCGTTTATGTCCAGCCGCAGTAAAAACCCAGCAATTTAGAAGCTTAAAATCCGACATTTATATGCTTTGTGGGAAGATCTGGAGAGTGAGTTCCCTAAGTTGCAGCAAATAAACAGTCACACAGTAATACCGGCTCTGTCATGTGCTGAACAGGCTCTTGTTCCACATCCAGAGAACAGCCTGATTCGGCCGGTGACCCGCATCGTATGACCTGGTGGCCCATTAGCGGGGCCTGTCTGCCACGATGCCCAGGTGCAGGTGTAAACCCGTGTGCTGAAGCTCCAAGTGCGTCTTCCCGCGCTCCAAGCGACTTGCCCATACTCACTGGCCCAGAAGGTCCTTGAAGCGCGGGTCCAATTCGATGTGGTACTTGCGCAGGTAGACAAATAGGTCATCGGTCCCCAGAACTTTGGCAATTCTGACCAGCTGGGACCAGACCAGATAATGAAGTTAGACCATAACTCCTGAGGAGAGTGTGAAGTCCTTTCTTTCAGTAACAAAATGACAGTCACAGCATATAATTTTAACTATCAACAGATAACAATTATGGATTATATGGAGGCAGTACGTAGATGGCAGAAATGGGCGTGTCCAGGGTAGGCCACGCCTCCAGAGAGACACCTGGTCGTAGTTGTCCTGCCCATGGAAAAAAGGCTCCTTCTGGAAGATCATACTGGCCAACATGCAGCCCAGACTCCACATGTCCAAACTGTAGTCATACATCTGTGGGAACACAGTCGTGGGAGGCGAAACAGTCACACACAGCCTGTCTGCTACATCCACATGCTGAGGCTAACGGCGGGGAAAAAAATCCAGCACATATGCAAGCTGACGAATGTGGGGATGTTCATGTGTGTTCATATGACTGAACACGTGTGAGTGTGTGACACACGTACCTGATAGTCCACTAGCAGCTCTGGGCCCTTGAAGTAGCGTGACGCCACCCTGACGTTGTACTCCTGTGCTGGGTGGTAAAACTCTGCCAGGCCCCAGTCGATCAGACGCAGCTGGTCCCCACACACACACACACACACACACATATTATATATAGATGGACTTTAAGGGATGTTTAAACAATCTTCCTATCGAGATAAGCGTGAATGTGAACCTGACTAATTGTAGCTAACACCTGCTTCCATAAGTACTATAGGATGTAAAAATACCTGCACTGGGGACAGAAGCTCAAATGCTCTGGGGATGCAAACCCACTCGCTGGCCCCAAGCTTTCTTCACTTGTACGTCACTTTATACAAAGGTGTATAAATGCTAAATAAATGTACCTAATCTATGCAGCGCACTGAGGACCAGGTCATCAGCTTATTGGCCAATCTTATCAGCAAAGGGCCGGTGTGTATGCAGGTTTTCGCTGCAACTCCCTAATTATGTCACTAATTAGAGGACTGATTGGCTGAAGAGTCATCACACCTGGGTTTGAACAGCTGACCTAAAGGTTATCCCAAAAACCTGCATACACACCGGCCCTTTGCGGATAAGACTGGCCACCCCTGGCTTAGTCTCTTTTAAAGGATGACCTAGGTACATATTTAAAACAGGAGACTTATCCTGAGGCTGGACGGTTTACAGGTTTTAGCACTGTGCCCCAGGCAAGAAAATTATCACTGAAAACCAGGAGAAGGGCCGGCTGAACCGCGCGTATAAAGGCAGAGCCAAAAGCAGACAGGGGTCGGCTGAACTGCACGTATAAAGGCAGAGCCAAAAGCAGACAGGGGTAGGCTGAACCGCACTTTTATCTAGAACAATGAATAGTGCCTCCTACCTTCCGCATCTGGTGGTCGATCATCACATTGTGAGGTTTGACGTCTCGGTGCATAATGCCCATGCTATGGCAGTAGTCCAAAGCCTGAAGGATGAGTCAAGCACACGTCAAGCACACACTATAAACAGCAACCATCATGCAAACAGCACCGTGTCTCTTACCTTAAGTAGCTCGTACATGTAGTAACGAATGTCAAAATCAGTTAACTTCTGATACAGCTCCTGAAAGATGACAACAGCTTCATGAGGGACAGTGTTTGCCTGTCACCACTGAGGGGGCAGTATCACATACAGCCGATGCAGATGGCGGGACTTACATAGGAACAGATTTGTCAGCCGTATTCCTGTTGCTATGGTAACAGGGACTGCAAAGCCATTTCATCTTTTTAAAGGTTTTATTTATGTGAAATAGCCCATCAAACTTAACTAATATCTACCATCACAACTGATGCTGAACCCATAACCAGCAAACCATGGAGTCGCCTCAAATTCAGAACGTAAACATCCTGTATATAATCACAATAACAGCAAGCCGTATTTTGTATTTATGCTTAGTTTTATGACTTGCTTTAATTGTGCTGCACTTCACACTTAGAGACTGAGATGTAAAACCAAGACAGCATGCACTCTATGTCAGGCCTGATCAGCAATGAAACGCCCTCCCGGACGGCAAGCCCCCATGAAACGCCCTCCCGGACGGCAAGCCCCCATGAAACGCCCTCCCGGACAGCAAGCCCAAGCCCCCATGAAACGCCCTCCCGGACGGCAAGCCCCCATGAAACGCCCTCCCGGACGGCAAGCCCCCATGAAACGCCCTCCCGGACGGCAAGCCCCCATGAAATTGTGTATTTTAGTTTTCATGTTTTCATTCAACTTCAAAAACATCAGCCCGAAAGCCTTAGTGACTGAAAACATTGTATTTAAAAAGTAAATACTTCTGTCATATAGTTTTTAATCAGGGGTGATGTATCTTAACTCCACAAGTGGGTTGTTTGGTAAATAGGAAGCTCACAGTGAATGAGGGTAAAAAAAAAAAAAAAATTTAAAAAAGGACACAAAATGAACACCGCGTTCACAGGCTATAGATCTAAAATCATAATGAGAGAAGGCGAAAAAATGACATTGCTCCTGTCACTAAACAGAAACAAGTACTTCAGGGATGAATATTTCTAAATACAAGGCTTTTGGGCTTGATGTTTTTGGAAGTTGAACTAAAACATGAAAACTAAAACACACTTGTCAATAAAAATGTTATTTCAATATTATTTCCCTGATGGTCTGCTGCGCTTCCCGTCACATGAGACTCCAAGCCAAGAGTCAGGCCTCACACCTAAAACATCAACGTACACTCACAGACAAGGGCATTACAGCACACCATGACAACGTTTAAAAAATAACCGCATCTACCTTAAAATCTGTGTTGTTGATGCATTCAAAGACCAGGGCTGGGGTACGAGACTGGAGAGAAAGACAAGAAAGAAGATTAAGATAATATATTGTTGACGTTCTTGTTGTCGTTATTATTTTTTGTTGTTGTTGTTATTCTTAATCAAACAGTGACTCAACCCTTCACTCCACTTTCTCTCTCAACAAAAACATAAGGAACAAAAGAATCTGAAATCAAACATGGCAGGTTTAGTGCTACCGCTCCGATATGGGCTGAACCTGACAGAGTAGCTGATGGTGCATTACAGAAAGCGGAAAACATGCCAGCGCCTTTCAGGACAGCAACACACCACGCCCTGGTACCACGTTCCTGGACTGACAACACAAACCAAAGCTCTGACCCAACATCACCCCGCTTGGAGATTCCAGTGTCAGCGAAGAACCTACACCATCCTACACTGGGACCCATGGTGGTTGAAATATTAAAACACAGAACAGCTCCTAGTTCTGACTACCACAAACAGATCAATATAGCAGTGAAATAAGTAAAAACCTTAGAAATCAAATTAGGAGATCCATTTCCAAATTAAAACAATCCTTAATGTAATACCCACATTTATGGTTCTCAGCTGTAAACTATATTTCACATATTTGTGCACATGGTCATGGTCATTCAACATAGTGTTTGCATCACTGTGATTTTGTTTAAATTTGGCATGTGAATATTCATGATGCAGGTTTTCAGCTTATTTTTGGAAGAATTTCCCCTTGAGATACAGCATCTGTTCTACATCACAAGATGCAAAAAAAATCATATTATATATGTGTGTGTGTGTGTGTGTGTGTGTGTGTGTGTGGGGACTATATATATATTTTCTCTCTCTCTCTCACACACACACACACTGTGTAAATACAACACTGACCTGTCACTTGATACCCTTCATGAACACCCCAGACATGTTAAAAAAAAAAAAAAAAAAACTAATTTTTGAGCCTCAAAAAATTGTGGGAGAAGGAGAAAAAATGTATCACTTAATTGGGAAGAAAGTACTTTTTACTTTATAACAAAAATAACACCTACACCCCTTTGAGGTCTATCAGGTTCTGAGCTTACAAGAAAAATGTTTAAAAATGCTGAAGTTACACACTAATCTCACTCTCTTTTAACGTTTCATAAAAAAAGCTTCCAGTGAACTTGAAGTGTACTCTAATGAATGTACTGTGTTTTGGGGACTTTTCTGAGAATTTCTCCTTTGTCTTCCAAGATGAAGCCCAGGCATTCCATGACAAAGCACACTTTGTGTGCTTTTCCAGTAAGCTACAACTTCCATGTGACTGTAATAATAATAATAGAAAAGTTACAGCTTATAAAGAAAAAAAACATTCTGAAATGTTTTTTTCTACCTGCAATGTAAAAACGGTGCTATATCTCACAAAAAATATTTCTAAAAGTAAAAAAAAAGCATTTCTGAACATTAAAAGATATGTGTAAATCACAAGCCAAATTTAATCCACATCAGACATAGTGATGCAAATGTTGAATTAAATGGAAAGAGCCTATGACAACTAAGTGAGCTCTGATTGGTTATTTTCAAGTTGTTGTTGTGACTGTGGGCCAACCTATAGTAAGGAAGGAGCGGGGACTGAGGAACACACCACAGGGTCCTTCACTGTGTCCACCAGCCGGATGATGTTGGTTCCCCCCCGCAGGTTCTCCAGGATCTTAATCTCCCGCTTGATCTTCTTCTTCTTGACGGGCTGCACGGATCCAAAAAAAGGGGAGAGATCAATATACAGGCAGTTCCCAGGTTACAAAGGAGATCTGTTCCTTAAGACCGTCTTTAAGTCAAATTTGTAAGTCAGAACAATAATAATAATAATAGAGTACATAACAATAACAATAATAATATTTAATATAGTAATAAAAGTAACTTCATACAATACAGCACTGTACCTTGGGCAGACAAACCGCAGAAGCTGCGCAGTGTTTTCACAAGCGTCACAAAGCAGTGCGTTCATTATTATGAACCACTGTATTTAACCCAAATTTTTAATATAACAGGTTCTATTGGGCTTTATGGCAGTGTTTATAGGAATGAGTTGTCCATAAGTCAGGTGTTCTTAACCTAGGGACTGTCTATACACACTCAAAGGAAGCAGAAATCACAACAGTATCGAGACAGGCTGGTTGCAGAAGCTGGCCTGGTCTGTGTGATTAGCAAGAACGAAAGCTGGACCGGTATTCTCCTGGAAGCTGGAAAGGATTCTATCCCCTAAGGATGTGTGAAGTACCTGGGAAAAGCTGCTAGCTCTGCAGATGTGTGGAACACCTGCGATCCGCTGGCCAGCTGCCATGAAAGGTGCTCCCCCCCCTTTGGGGGTGACTCTAATTCCCCCGTCTGATGCGGTTCACCTGTGCTGCCTCCAGAAGGAAGCCATCAAATATTTTTAACACCCAAATCTCCAAGTGAGGTCAGTATATAAACAAGAAAGAATCTGCGCGTGCTACAGCTCGACTGCGCAGCCCAATGTGTGAAACCACCTCCAGACGGACTCCGGGCTTCAGGGAACAAGCTATAATGAGAGTGTCAGCGTGCGGAGTATCCAGGGACCCCACCCTCAGACTCAGTCTACATCCAGCATGTGGAACAGGTATGTTACCCACCAGCCCCTCAGCCAGCATGGGAAGCAGGACCACAAGCAAAAGGGAAGATTCCCACAGCTGGCCAGTACATGCAACGCTTCACAATTCTTCAAACATTTCACCACTTTACCGAGGCATTTTGCATAAATCCTATTTGCAAATCTGTCTCTCTCTGGAGACATGTTGATGTGTAAATGGAAAAGCTGGTAATTTATGCTGAATTTCTATTTCCACTCAGATCGGCTTCTGCTCTGACGAACAGGCACAGCCCACAAGATCCCAGTGTGACCCTAACCCCACACGGCATCTGGACTAAGATGTGACCGTTTAAGTCTTCAGTGCCACCCAGCCTCTGGGGGCTTTTAGAAGCCGATCTGACATGCTCAGACATGGTGTGGCTCTGTTAGCTCACCTTGAGGATTTTGACCACCACCTTCTCATTGTTGTTGATGTTGATGGCTTCAAAGACCTCGCTGTACTTTCCCCTGCCAAGTTTGCGCACCAGCTGGTAATCCTCTTGGTTGCTAAAGAGGCGAGAGGGAGGGAGCAACTTTAACTGCACTCTTTGGCCACCCCCCCCAAATCTACTACCAAGCCATCGCCTCCATTGCATCACGTGCTTTCATGCCTCTGCTAACCTTTCAGGGATCCTGAGGGGGGCGGCATGTTTAAAAACAATCAGGGACTATTTCTCCATTCCTGGCCTGTTGTCTGCTTACAACATTATACAATGGTAACATAAAAATAACGCTGACATTCTATGAAGAGAAACGGGCGAAAAATCAGTACGGCACATTGAGCCTCGAATAGGAGGGTGACACCGCTGGTGCCAAATTAGGGTCCACGAGAAAAGGTAAAAAGCCATTAATGGATTTCACTGAAAAGACAATTTGGCGAGGTGTTGCTCGTCCGTACAGATACTTTGCGCATCATTTACATGCCAATGTACATAATATAGTTCATATATCATACAGTTACTGCTTTACAGTGCTAATTTCACATCAGATTCACAATACGTTGCCATCCAATGAAACGATCATGAATCCACCTTATTAATGACAAGCCGCACATAATGAGAATCATTCGGCAACATTGGCCTAATCACAAAATGCTTGTTATTGTAGTACATAGTGACATGCAAGGTAAAGAATGAAACAGAATGAGACGCAGCAGCGCCATCACCATGAACACAATGTTCAATACAATACAATGTGCGGGTGTTGCAAAACGCGCATCTCACCTCCAGTTGGGCACATGGGCCTCATAGTCCCAGTACTCCCTGCTCTTCAGCGTGTTGACATCGGCGTAAACCCGAGATTTGCTACCGGCCACGGGGCCGGGCATGGCGAGCGGCGGGAGCTCCGGCTGCTGGGAGCTCGTTTGCCTGCAGGACTCGGCGAAGCTTAAGTAAGCGGAGCAGCGGGCTCTCCCGTTGGAGCCGCGATTCTGGTGTCGTGAAAGGGGTTTTTCCCCAAGCGTGAGGGCAGGTCACTGTACAGCCGGGTAGTGATCGCCGCTAGAAAGCTTGTGAGAGATGAGCTGGACTCGATGAAGAGCAAGATGAATGCTGGCCAGCGACGGAGCGACAGATTTCAACGAGAATGAGAAAATGGGAGGCTGAGGTAGACGGGGAGCAGGCTGTACACCTGCTTAGATAACTATATTTCGAAATATAAGGGGAGAGCACAAGGATACTCTGGAGACTGCGGTTGAACCCCCACCCCCTATGGGCCACAAGTCCCCGATCGAAGACGGGATATTCGACCAGGGACTCCCGCGTCTCAGGAGGTGGAGCACGATTACCAGCCGAACCAGCCTTCCGCGATGGATGGGTGGGCCGATGGATGGATGGAGATGCAGCAGGCAGCAAGTGCAGTCAACACCAGATTAGGGCTACTGATTTAATAACGCACCCTGTTTTCGGGATGCATATGCACGGATGGGGTGGGGTAGAAATCGGTGCAGAAAGCTTATGGTCCCTGTGCCGGTGAAGTGAAATTCTGCCGCCGCCGTCCGCGAGTAGCGCCCCCTTCCCGACTGTGACGCCCCCTCTCCGGGCGCTGAGACGGGAAATCTGCGGCAGAAAGCACTAAGAGTCGGGTTTCGGGGGATCGTTTTTGGAAGCCTCACTTCCCCCCGGCCCGTACTCCGGATTGCAGTACAGATACCCGGAAGAGAACGGAGACAGGAAGCGTAGTGCCGCATTCATTGAAACCAAATATCGGTGGTATTAACGATATGGAAGAAGAGTCGTTGGCGCCCCCTTTTAGCGCGGAGGTCAACATTAAGAAATGAAAATCAGCGATTCTCAACCCGGGGGTCGCGACCCAAGTATTTCTGACTATACGTTTGCAAATTTCTTAAGCTCAAGATTTTGTCAAGCTTGTGAACTGTTTGTTTATATTTAAAACGCTAAAGCCTGCTAAGGTGATTGTCTTTCATTTTAATTAGACTTGATGCGATCGATATACATTCACAATACTCGGAGATTACCGGGTTACGAAGGGGTTACGTTCCGACAAACCTACATCGTAAAGCGAAAATGCGTTTTAATACAGTACACCTGACCTAACAAACGTCGTAGCTGAGCCTATAGCTTCCACATATACATGTTTAGAACACTTACATTAGCCTACAATTTGGCGAAATCATTAACACAAAGCCTATTTTATAATAAACATGTAATTTACTGAATGATGTACTGAAAGTGAAAAATATTTACCCCCTGTATTTTAATACCGCCTGCAGTTTAATGAACATGCAGTTTCATTAAAAGTAACTTAAGAAAGTGCAGCAGCATGAGCATGTACGGCCCCCGCCGATTCTTTTAATCAAACGCTCGATTCATTTAAACGAACAGTTCGATAGAGTCGGTTCTGTAAATTGAACCGAACATTTCACTATTTAACAGAGGTAACTATAATACGGTGGCAGTGTCTTAAATAGTAATTAGTAGTTAGTAAATAGTAGTTAAGTTGGAGGGGTTTTTTAGCCAATGAGTGTCGAGGATGAAACATTTTTCTTGAATCCAATTGGTCTTGCTGGGCCTCGCGGAGTGTTTACCTTGGTAACCATGGCGCAGAACAAGCTCAGCACCGAAGTTCCAGAAATGGAGAAACAACAACTTGTTCACATCACGGAAGAACTCAGGTAAAACGGGCGCAAGTGATTCCAGCAAAACAAACTTTAGGAGAAACAATCCGGTCTGATTTTTCTGCGTGTTACTAGTCTTGGTATATAACCATGCATAAAATACACGTGAAGTTTACTACTAAACCAAGCACACAATGATCAGAAGTCCTACTCATGAATCTTTTATTTGTTTATTATACATCTATATCTGTTTTTTTGCACTGTCTGTATTGTCTGCATGCACTGTGCGTTTTATGCTGCTGTAGCACCAGAATGTCCTGCTTGGGATCAATAATATACGGGCGGTGAACAATATGACGGAAACACCACATCGAAGACTGTAACTTTGAAGTAACTTAACCACAGTTACACACGCAGCTACACAGTTGCCAGCTAACAGTAAAAGTCAGGTATAAAAGAGGTGTGTCCAGGGGCAGATTAAGCTATCTGGGAGCACTATAGGCAAGTTTCCTGAGATGTAATAGGACCCTGATGTCTGTCCAGACCTAGTGAGTACGTATTACTACACACTGGGTGTTACAATCAACCAGGGACATTAGAGGGCAGTGGGTAGCTGCACCCCTGCAGTCAACACAGTAATATCTGAGTTTTCAAAGCAGACTATTAGCAGACTTACAAAGGGACCGAAGAGTCTGTGCCCAAAACTGCAAAATGATTTAATGTGTGCAGGGGAGCAGCCTCAAAAATCATGACCGCATACGCTAAACAGAGACAAGCTACAACGGCAAAGAAGAACATTGGCCGCAAGTCAAAGCTCACCGACAGGGACAGAGGGACTCATAACAGGACAGATGCTAAATACCACAAAGTATGGCCTAAAAATTAACCACAAAATATCTGCGTCATCTTTCACTAGTTTTTCTACACCTGGAGGGCTGTTTATTAGGAGGAAGACATAGGATGATTCCACCACCCTTGGTCTGTCACCTCATGGCAGTCACTAGGGGCGATTACCACTCCACTGGGTCAGACAAGCCATGTGAGGTCATTTAACAGGACCAGGTGTCCCTATTCCTTATTGGGTCCCTTAATACAGTCTTAGACCGTCAAAGAAAATGATGATCTTCATGTTGTATAAAAATGTGTCTGACAAAGTTTGTCAGCTTAGCCATTTCAGAATCTCCCCTAAAGTCACCCCAGTATTTGCAGCATCCATCCAACACACCCGTGTATTTTTATCACTTCACATGGCTAATCAATATCTCATTGACTTTTTAAAAATAATGAAATGTAATTTAATTAGGTTTACTTGGTCAAAGTGGAGCACCTGAGTGGAGCATCAGAGTGTCTACCATGACACCCCCTTTGCATTCCTGTAGGAGGTCCAACGCTGCCCTCCAGCTGGAGAATGAGATGTTTGAGCAACATCTCAACCGGCTGAGCCTTGCCTCACAGCTGGAGTCGGAACACTTTGGAGTGGACTCTCAGAGGGTAACGGGAGCGGTTAAATGCTGTCTAGGTCTGAATTTAAATGTGGTTAAAATACGTTTAGTGAAGGGTCTTCAACAAGGGCTGTTAGGAGGAACTGCAGGGGCTCCGTGAATCTTTGTGTAATGACAAACTGATTTGTGTGAAATTCTACAAAATATGTCTACAAATAAATTTTATACAAACTCAAACCAGTAATAAGTCAAGCCACTGGAAATCACTGCAAACTGCTCTATGGATTAAACATGATCGTTTGGTTGTCATTCAGAGTCTTAATCAGAGGTGGAGAATTCAGGTCCAGAGAGTACAAATCCAGACCAAGATTTTGTTTCAACCAACCAGTTGAGTATAAAGAGTCACAGTCACAGAGTACTCAACTGGTTGGTTGAATCAAAATCTTGGTCTGGATTTGTACTCTCTGGACCTGAAATCTCCACCTCTGCTCTTAATTCAGTTAAAATGTTGTTGTACTGGTGTCCCACTGGGACAATAGAGACAAACGTTATGTACGCTGAATAAGCGCTGTGTTAATGAACAGTGACCTACATTGTTATTACTAAGGTGTTACGAAATAGAATGATTATGCATGTGGTAATATTGTAATTTGTCCATTTTGTTTATTTATTTGTATGTTCATATACATACTGTATATAACCTCCACTGCACCATAGACACTGAGTCCGTTTCCCTCAATTTGGTACTGGTACTTTAAGTTCCTGTATTCTAACAAAAAAAGAAACCTGAACCATGTACACACACTTTAAAATCTGTGAAGTGAAACAAAAATGTAATATAGCAATTACAAAGTTTCAATTAATAATGTTTATAATTATCATATTGTAAGCTTCAAGTAAGTAAGTAAAGTTTATTATGAACCTTTCACACACAGGGAAAACTCACAGTGCTGTACAAAACTAAATGCAGTAAAACATAAAAAAAAAAAACAATGTAAAAATACATAAGTGCAAAATACACAACAGTACATGACAAAACATGATCACAAGATGACATTTTTTCAAAAGTCTAAGAAAAAAGGTAAGTTTAGAGCTGCCATTAAAAACATTCTGCAAAACACAAGACAAACTAAATAACTACAGATGCTCCTCTACTTACGAACTTTCAACTTACGAACTTTCAAACATACGAACAGAGGACTGTAAGTCCAAATTGTGTTCATTGGGTTCCCGTTTCCTGTCCGCAACATCAAAGTTTTTTTCTTGCGTGCCAATTCCACCTAGTACGACTTCTGGCTGCTACTCCCGCTACGCAGCAGCGTAGCGTGCATACTCCCAGGATCTTACTTCTTTGTACTTGCGTTGAATGATGATTTACGAACATTTCAAGTTACGAACAGCTGTTCGGAACGTAACTTGTTCGTAAGTAGAGGAGCGTCTGTACTTTAATAGGGTCATTTTCATTTATTTATTCATAAATAAACAGGATGATATAGTTGTTGCTCATGTAAATATAGGCCAGGCCTGATCTGTAACACAATTTTATAATGTGCGAACAGGAGGTCCCTCCTCTGTCTCTCTCTCCTCCAAGGGGTCCCAGGTTTGAAAGAGGCTGAAGACCCTTGCTTTACAGTAGTTTTTATTGTGCCTGTCACAGTGAGCTTGCAGCATGGGGGGCAGCTTGAGCGGTTGTGCTGACAGCCTGCTCTCTGACAGGGGCGTGAGCGGCACTCCAAAGCGCGGAGCTCGGCCTGCGACCAGCTGCCACTGCTCACCACGGAGCAGAAGTGTGAGGTGGCACAGCAGGAGCTGGAGGAGATCAAAGCGGACCTGGAGAAGGGCAAGGCTAATGCCACGAGAGTCCTGAACGATTTACAGGTGATTAATCCTTAACGTCAAAAAGAGAGAGGAGAGACCGTCTGGCACCGCGCACTGCCGGGTACCTGGGGCTGTCTGGCACTGCGCACTGACGGGTACCTGGGGCTGTCTGGCACTGCGCACTGACGGGTACCTGGGGCTGTGTTTGACTTCTCACCCACCTCAGGCTAACCTGGAAGAGGCACAAATCCGCCTGGTAGAAATAAAGAAAATGAGGAGCGAGTTTGAACGCGACATCGCCAAGGCAACGCAGGAGAAGAGGGGCGCCAAGCTGGGGGCTGAGAAGCTCACCCGATATTTCGAGGACAGGATGAGGTTAAAGGTCAGTGGGAGGTCTGGTTAGTCACAGGACTGCGGTTGAGGCCGTAGATTCTGAATGCAGCTTTTATAATATTTCCAAAGATTTCTCAAAGTATATTTGCCCTAAATAAACTGAATGGTTATTTAATAAGACCTATTTATTTAATTCAGTGGGTTATGCCACTATTCCTGTGATCAGAAGGTTGCTGGTTCAAATCCTAGGGTTGGCACTGTTGGGCTCTTGAGCAAAGCCCTTAACCCTCAGCTGCTCCAGGGACAATCTAACCCTGCATAAACATCTTTTGTGGATAAAAGTGTTTGATAAATAAATGTAATGTACTGTAGCTGTGTGTACTGTAGCTGTGTGTACTGTAGCTGTGTGTACTATATCTGGGTGTACTGTAGCTGTGTGTACTGTAGCTGTGTGTACNTGTAGCTGTGTGTACTGTAGCTGTGTGTACTGTAGCTGTGTGTACTATATCTGGGTGTACTGTAGCTGTGTGTACTGTAGCTGTGTGTACTGTAGTTGGGTGTACTGTAGCTGTGTGTACTGTAGCTGGGTGTACTGTAGCTGTGTGTACTGTAGCTGTGTGTACTGTAGCTGGGTGTACTGTAGTTGGGTGTACTGTAGCTGTGTGTACTGTAGCTGGGTGTACTGTAGCTGTGTGTACTGTAGCTGTGTGTACTATATCTGTGTGTACTGTAGTTGGGTGTAATGTAGCTGTGTGTACTGTAGCTGGGTGTACTGTAGCTGGGTGTACTGTAGCTGTGTGTAATGTAGCTGTGTGTACTATATCTGTGTGTACTGTAGTTGGGTGTAATGTAGCTGTGTGTACTGTAGCTGGGTGTACTGTAGCTGTGTGTACTGTAGCTGTGTGTACTGTAGCTGTGTGTACTCTCCGAACACTACATGAGCGATTCCCTCTGCAGGACGCCTTGATAGAGAAGCTGCGGCTGATGAATGCTGCCCTAAAGGTACACAAGAGGAAGGTATGGATGCAGCTGCGCCAGAAGGAGGAGATGGGCGAGGCTCTGCAGAAGGTGGACTTCCAGAAACTGAAGATCGAGAACACAGACTACCTGGAGCTCAACAACAAGCGGAACCAGGAGCTGCTGCACTTCAAACTGAAAGCTGGGAAGGTGATGCAGATGTTAAGCTCAGCCAAGGTCAGTGTTCCAAGCATCTTTCTGGAGACCACTCCAATATCCATGCCTGTCGCAGGGCTCACATTCACCATTCCGAACAGACCACACGTCCTTGAGCTGTGGGAGAAACCCAGATTAACCAGTAGATGCCCAACAAACCTGAGGAAAACATGCAAACACACATAAAGCTGTGGTTAGGAATCAAATCCACAGGATTAGGGGTGTCAGGTGATGTTCTTCTATGGACAATATATATTTATTTTCAGTTGCTTAGGTGACACTGATATACAAAGTGACTTAGAGTTGCACACTGGCTACTTTACTGGAGACAGTCAGGCTGAGTGCTTTTTGTTATTGTGCCTTTAACCAGTAGGCCACCTGCTGTCCAGCATGAACAGGTGCAGCTTGGCTTAGCAGAGCTTCAAGAGGGACTGTATTTTACAGAAAAGGCCAAATGAGGATCACAGTGGGTCACATGTGACTGCAAATGGGCTCCATTTGGGCTCCGTACTTTATGGTTTGTGACTGATGGCATTTGGTCATGTTCATTACAGAGATGTCTCCAGGATGCCACCCTCGAGTCTGAGTCACTGAACCATGATATCGCCTCTCGCAGGCACATGCTGGCGAAGATCCAGGTTGAGATGGTCCTGGCTGAAGAGGTGGGTTCATGGTTCCCTCACAGACTTCAAAGGGCGCTTTTCCACTGCACTGGGTACCGAACTTTTGGTACTAAAAATCAGTAGATTCCTTTTCCCATTGATTTCAAGTGCAGTACCTGTGCCAGCACCTAATTACCAAAGCAGCTGGGCTACTCCTTGGGTACTTTGGGGTGGGACTGGCAAACATGTTCATTGTCGAATGGCTATGCTACCTGCCTCTGAAACATAAAATACAACCGCCATCTTGAAAAAGTGTGGTTACAAACTCAGATAACAATGATAAATGAAGTTAAAAAAAAAAAAGTTATAATAAGGGCAACGTGGACAAATTAGGAGACCAAAGCTGTAACTGTAATCTGATCAGAAGAACCAGAAGAAGATCTGGGTGGCATGACAAGAAATAAAAAAGTATTTGCTATAATATGTTAAAGTTGCATGATATTGGAAAAATTTTAAATATCACAATATGATTTTTTTTAATGATAAATATTGCAATATATTTAAGCTATAAAGGAATTCAAAATAAATTTCTCGCAAATGCATCTATGAGTGATTTGAACAGGGAGGATGAAAATGATTGTCTTGCAGAGCTCATGCGAAAGTTGCAATGGTAAACTTTAAACTATATATTAAACATATACTAAGCAAAATTGAAAATGACAGAGTAAAATTTTTTTCTGAAACTTAAACCTTCCGTGCTATAATGTCCAGACAGTTTGAAGATATGAAAAGCCTGATCTTAAACCAACTGTCGACTGTCACGGTGACAATTGCATGTGCATAGCATGCGATGTTGGTATTAATATCACACATTGCCTGGCCCTATAATATACTATACTCGTTTTTCCAGTTCACTACAGAACACCGTGCCTCATGTTGTAAGGATTGGTGCCCATCTGCCCCTGTCCCATGTGTCTTGTCCCCATTTGGCCTGCAGGTGTCGTTGGCCATCCTGTTCATCTTGTAGCCCCTCAGTCCCTAGTGTGTTTTCCAAATCCTCGGGACACCGTGTGGCTTAACAGGCTGAATGGTTGGACCATCAAGCCATACGGCAGCCCAGGGAGTAAGGAAACACACTAGGGACAGGATGGCCAGCAACACCTGCAGGCGCCCATTGACTCCTGCGTGGCCGTGTGTTGTGTTTGTGTCCCCCCGGCACCCCCTGCTGGCAGGAGCGATCCAAGGCAGAGGTACTGAACAGGAAGCTGCACAGGCGTCTGGAGGAGTATAATGTGCCTGATGTGCTACAGTACGTCCAGGTCACGATGGCCCACAGAAAGCTGGAGCAGACCGTGCACAACTGGGAGCGCAAGACTGACATTGCCCAGGTAAGGGCCTTGTGGAGCAGGACTAGATGAGGTAGAGGGGTTATTTTATCCCAAACCAACACTGAGCCCACCTTCTCTCTGCAGATGGCTCTGAAGGCCCACACCAAGGGCTGTAATCGTGGATGGACTGGGCCCAGTCTGGACTCTGTGACCACACCATGACTGTTCACTGTACTACGAAGTGGGGTTACTGGCTTATCGGGGTAACTTGTCGGATTTAAGGTACCACAGTTTAAATGGACTTCATATTCGTTCACTTACATTTTGCCCAGACTACCTTAAATCCGACAAGTTACCCCGATAAGCCAGTAACCCCACTTCGTAGTACAGGCCACAGGGGATACACCACGCCCAATTTCTGAAGGTCTTTTCCTCCTCATGCTGGAAACATAACGCCTAATGCCTGGTTAATCTGTGGTTTAGCTTCTTTTCACTGCTGTAATATTTGGAGGGGGGACAGAATGGCTGAAAATGGCCACATTGACACAGATGGTAGCAGCACAACAATTCCAGAGTTACTACTTTGGCTCAGTTTCTGATTACCCGCCCGTGCCCAAGCAGTATTTCTGTTTCATGCCATGAACAAAGAATACATGAATCCTTGTTTCCAGATAGATTCCTGCACGAACCCTCATGTCTCATAGGAACTCAAGATCGTATATATGCACATTGAATATATACTGAATATTTACTTGCTAGGTGCCACCTGTACAATGACAATAAAGGTATCATTTTTTCCTAATGAAACACTTAAATATACATTGTGTGCACTGATTAATATGTTTTTAAAAAGCATATTTTTATAATGTATTTTTCCCAGAATAGTATGTCAATTTGTGCATGTAAAGCAACTCGATTAGCATAGAAAGCGTACGAAGCATATGAAGCAGGTGCCATCGGAGTTCCTATTTGTACTCTGAACAAGCATAGGTTCTCTGCTAAGAATCTCCGCATGATAGTCATGTTGTGTGTGTGTGTGTGTGTGTGTGTGTGTGTAAACTCACCGTGCTCACGTGGGTGGGGAGGCTCATTGCTGCTGTCACATAAGAACGACACGGCGTTAATGAAAAATTTTTATTTGTTAGTGCTGTGTGTATTAAATGCTACATACAGATTATTTTTTTTAGCTTGAATGTACATATTAATCGCCACACAAGGGTTTTGCCATGTTTTCCACAAACTACAAATTAAAAAAAAGCTAAATGGGGGACGGGGGGGGGTGTTCCTAAGCACATATACAAGGAACAGCAGGTTACAGAAGCTAACACTGTGTGCATGCACAGGGCCTTCACACTGCCCAGGTCAAAGGTCAAAGGTCATGTTGCTTACGCCATACAACCTGTCAATCAACCATATCCAATATCAACTATCTAAAGCCCTTAAAACTCCTAATCATAATATAGATATAAAGTTCTTAAACAATAATTTTAAAAAGAGAAATTATACAACACAAACTGGCAAAATACAAAAACACTTCCTTTAACCTAATTACCTTTTGACCTGTAGTGTATCTGCAATGCTCGGAGTTTAAAAAAAACAAAATAATACCCATATTTTTAATAGGAATCTCAACAACAACAACAACAGGACAGACTGCACAGTGAACAAGAAACTAAATGGCCTCTCGTCAGGCCCAGAGCCGAAGGGATTCATGACCCCCTTTTGGGGTGGGGGACTTGGCGGGGCAACTGATCCTCCCGAGAACGTCTGTGGCAGGGGGGAGAGGGCTTCACCACCAAACCCATCACGGCTCGAGCCTCTGCATGTCCCAGAGGCGGCTGGGACAGGTCTGAACGTGATCGCTAAACGTCATTAAATATAAACTGAAAGATCCAGCACCATTTCAGTACAGTACAAGCCCTGGCTTTTCCCCATCATACATTAGGTGGAAAAACTAAACAAAATGAAGGTAAACCAACATCACTGGGTGACCCTGCCCCTGTTTTTTTCTTCTCTTTACTGCTGCAGTATCACTTTAATTCAGTTTCCCTTCTTGTCTGAGTCAGACTGGCTGTGAGAGAGGGACCCACCCGCTAGTGTGCTGCGCAATGAGGTGGGCCCAGGTCACATGACCCCCCAGCTTCAGTGCGCCGCACAGCAAGGCAGATCCTGGTCACATGACCTGCTGTGATCGTGGCTGGCGTGATTTCCTTTATCCTCCTCACATGGCGGGAGAACGGCGGATGACCTCAGCTACAGACCGAGGGAGAAGGGCAGGGCAGGCTGTCGGGAGGCCCTATGGCTCTTCACCACCCATCCTCACCGGTCTCTCGAGACAAGTGAATTAAACGCAGCCCTGTGTCACACTTGTGCCTGTGTACAGAGCAGGTCATCTCAGCAAAGCATTTCATGTTAAGCCCTTTGCTCAGTGGTACATCAGAGCCCCCCCCCCCCTGCAACTTTTCAAGTCCAGCTCTTTAACCATTACGCCACCTGCTGCTCTCTGTGTCACACTGCCACGGTGTCGTCCAGTTGAGGCTTGCAAAGGTCACCTTCTCCACCTGGGCCCAGCTAAAGATGACCAGAGGGGCCCCATTTAGGGGGGTTGGGGGGGGACGTGGGAAATGGTCGACAGGCTCCCAGAGTCTGCAAGGCTTCATCTAAATCCCTGGGCATCAACCCTCCAGTGAAACAGAGTGTTAATCTATTGGGGTCTAGAACTGCAGCACAACTCCACTGAATATAATGGCATCAACTGAAATGAGGGGCGATTTAGCAGCCGGAGGAGGGGTGGCAACCTTAAAACACTACAATAACTGTAAGTACACAGAAGAAAAAGTAGCTACAGACACAACAGCAGATGCATTTTATAAACACACACAAGGCAGGTCCTACTACATGACTTGTAAACATATTAGCATACATTATTTTATGTACATACAGTAACACGGGGACCTTGGACAGGTTCAGGCATGGCAGGAAAGATAGACTGTTCTCTATAAGTGTATCAACTGTATATATGGATAGAAATTAGAAGTAATATATATATATGTATTTATATATATATATTTAAATTTATTTATTTACTTATATAGCAAATGGTGGAGAATTCATCAAAGGCCTTGACTCTCCAGCTGGTTAATCCCCATTTTTTTTTTTTTTTTTTTTTTTTTAAGGGGGGGGGGGGGGGGGGGGGGGGGGGGGGGGGGGGGGGGGGGGGGGGGGGGTGTACGCACATGACAGTAATATTTCACAACTATTTATGACACTTTCAAATGTTGTTCCAGGACCACAGCTGTTACTCCGGGGAGACGGAGTCGCTCCGATTGGTGCGTAAAGATGTCCGCAGACAGCTCCGCCCCCCATCCCCCTGCCTTCCCCTGAGACGTGGGGGGGGCAGAGATGGAAGGGGTGGGCTTTACTGACTCTGCCCTGTACCCCGGTCCTGGTGTCACGGTAAGGAGTCCAGGTCCAGCTTCATAATTGGCCAGGTGAAGGTCCAAGGCAGAAGGTCCCCTTTAAAAAGTCACGTCTAATGCCTGTTTCAGTTTCTTGTCCCTCCCCTTGCACCTTTCATATTTTAAACAAATTTTATCTAAATGTCAGAGTTCAGTCACTTTACCAACCAAAAAAAACATGGGTACCAGTCCTCAGGTGTCAGAACGGTGCCTCAGGGAGTACAGGAGAGAGCTCCAGAGGGGCCCATTGATGGGGGAGTGAGACCGTTGGGGAGCGCATGGGCATTCTGCCCTGGGGGGCACAGGGTTGAGGGAGGAGATCCCGAGTCCCGGTTCTGGAACCGAATGCCAGTCTGGAGCAGTCGTGGGCCAGATGGAAGAGGATGCCGTGTGGTGACTCCAGCCAGTCGACAAAGCAACTGACGCGTTTAAAAATTGGGAGGATGGGGGGGGGGTGCACTTTTCCTTCGAGTTGTGAGGGTGACCTCATGCACCCCAGCAGGCACGCGGCCGCACGTCACCTGGAGAAAATCCGTGGCTAATTTCAGAGGCGTGGGGATGGGGTGGGGGCTATGGGCGCCGAACACTGGTTGCTGATCCCTGGCACCTCTGCACGAGACTGAAGAGAGGGCATGTGGAGCAGTTTATGGGGATGGAGGCGTGGGGGGCAAAGCTGGTGCCACTATATGCAGGGGGGCACGGTGTAGCCCCCACCCTCGGCCGTGTGCTGCACGGTGTGCTCCTGCAGGGCGCCCAGGTCCCCAAAGCGCTCCCCGCACCACACGCATTTGAACTGCGCTTCGCGGGCATGTACGCTCTGGTGCTTGGCCAAGTGCTCCCGCTGCTTGAAACCCTTGTCGCAGCTGGGGCACTTGAAAGGCTTCTCACCCGTGTGCACGCGCCGGTGCCGCTGCAGGTCCGACGAGTACTTGAAGCGTTTCTCGCAGTCGGGGCACTTGAGCGGCTTCTCGCGGGCCGGGTCGCAGCGGTGCTGCACAAACTCAGATGAGGAGAGGAAACGGCGGTCGCACAGCGAGCACTTGAGCGGCTTCTCGGAGCAGTGCGAGTTCTGGTGCCGCTGCAGCGTCGACGACTTCTTGTAGCCTTTGCCGCACACGTCGCATTTGTACGGCCGGTCGGCAGCTGCAGCGGCGGCTGCCCCCCCGCACTTGTGGCGCAAGAGCTCTCCTGATTGGCTGAAGCCCTTCTGGCAGGAGGCACACTTGAACAGGCTGTCCATGCCATGCACGTGCTGGTGGTAAAGCAGATGAGACGGCTGCAGGAAGCCCTTGTCGCAGAGGTTGCACTTAAAGGGCCGGTCCGCGGCACCTTTGTGCGTGCGACGGTGGCGCACTAGCGCGTACTGCTGCTTGAAGCTCATCTGACACTCGTCGCACTGGAAGGGGCGCTCCTCCGAGTGTGTGCGCTCGTGTTGCCGCAGGTCCGACGGCCGCTTGAAACCCTTGCCGCAGGCGGCGCAGCGGAAAGGCCGCTCGCCAGCCGGCTGGCACTGGTGGTGCAGCAGCTCCGAGGACTCCTTGAAGTGCATCTCACACAGGTTGCACTTGAAGAGGTGCTCTCCCGAGTGAGCATACATGTGCCGCACGAGGTGCGAGCGGTGCTTGAAGCTCTTCTCGCAAGCAGCACACTTGTAAGGCCGCTCGGAACTGTGCGTGCGCTGGTGGTGCGCCAGGTGCGACGACTGGCTGAAGCTCTTGTCGCAGGCGTCGCATTTGTACGGCTTCTCACCCGTGTGCACGCGCTCGTGCCGTGACAGCTCCGACAAGTGCCGGAAGCCCTTCTGGCACACGGAGCACTTGTAGGGCCGGTCAGGAGACGAGGCCTCAAAGGCGGTGGGCGCAGAGGCTCCCACAGCAGCCCCTCCCCCGGAGGCGGTGCCCTCAGCCGCCGGCTGCTGGGGGTTGGTGGCGGAGGGTGTGGGCGTGGCGTTGCCAGAGGAACCGGGCCGATAGGTCTTCTCGCAGATGGAGCACTTCATGGGGTTGCCGCTGCTGTGGGCCGTGTGGTGCTCAGCCAGAGAGGTGAGCAGGGAGAAGCCCATCTTACAGACCCCACACACGAAGGGCTTCTGCTCCACCTGCACGCACTGGTGCTCCAGCAAGTCGGTGGCCTGGTGGAAGATCTTAAGGCACTGGGTGCACTGGAAGGAGCGGTCCTGACTCACCATGCACTGGTGCTCATGCGGATTGGCCAGGTGCGAGATGTCGTGGCCGCAGGCCCCGCACTTGTGCCCACCATCGCCCCCTACCTGCAGGGAGGGCTGCTGCGCCTGGACGGCATGCTGCTGCTGGGGCGGCGCCTGTTGCTGCTGGTGCTGCTGTGGCTGCTGGTGTTGCTGCTGCTGCTGGAGGCTGGGGTCCGGCTGCAGGACGATGCCGTACACGGCACAGCCCAGTGCGCTTTCTGCCCCCGGTGGGATGGTGTGCACCACGGGGGGGGCCACAGCGTGCTGCTGCCACGCCTCCGTCATCCTGACTGCCGAGTAGGGATTCAGGTTTCAGGAATTCTAGGGGCAGCCTTGGATCATCGGTGGATGGGAGGCAAAGGGGGATTCAGGCAGAGGGGCGTAGCAGCCGGTGAATGGCAGGGACACACTGCTGAGCCTCTCACTCCTCAGTTCACTATTGGAGAAGGCGAGTCAAAAGCAAATGACCTGACTTCCAAGTGCAAGCGGATTAGTACTTTGGGTCCGGTGCCACGGTACCAAGTGGGTTCTCAAGAGTTCACCAAAACTTAAGTCAGAAACTGTGAGAAGAAAAGTTCTGCATTTGCTGCTCATGTCCATCCATCTCACCCTCTTCCCTCGATGCTCACACAGCTTCTGCTGAAAGAAGACAAATATATTATTACCCAATAGCCCATCACTGGCTTGGACACTGAATATATGCTACCATTAGCCGATTTCCTCCTTAATATGCTTTTAGGTGTATGCTTCCATTGCTCCCTTTAATCCTTTATATACTCTCCCACTATATTATGCTGTTATATTCATACTAATATACTTCACCCTTGGCCCCCTTACTTCTTGCTGTACTCTGCTCTTGCTTACAGTATTCATTTATACACTACATACACACAACAGTCAGCAGTCACTCACTATATATATTATGCCCTCACTCCCCACTTATTATTTTATATATATATATGATAATTTACCATGTCCTGTTTTCATTCCCCATGGCACCTCAAATACTCTTAATACTCCGGTCTTACTTTCCCTACTCATGTTTTATACACACACACTGTATTTATACATACAGTATGCTTTTAATGCATTTCTCTGTTTTAGCTGTGATTTACCTTATAGTAAAAGGCCTCAAAACGATGAATACATATCAACTATTACAAGGACCAAGAGTGTTCAACATCTCAAAATTTTCTCAAATTTACACTCTTCTAAGAAGCCATCTTTTGCTTTGATGACAGCATTGCAAACTCTTTGCATTCTTTCAGTCAGCTTCCAGATGGAGCCACCTGGAATGCTTCTCCAACAATCCTGAAGGTGTCTCCACAAGCTCTTGGTTGGCTACCTTGCTCTTACTCTTCAGTGCAACTATATGATAAAGGATCTATAGGGTTTCGCTCGCTCGCTCACACACACACACACACACACACACACACACACACACACACACACACACACAGTTCAAAAGTCTTAGCCACAGAGATTAAATTTAAATTGTTTTCAAGTTTGTTGTAAAACTATATTGTCTGTCAAAGTGTGTAAGCTTATCCATTTCAAAACCTCCCCTAAAGTGACCAGTTTTTGCAGCCACCATCCAATTCACCCATGTATCTTTTGACTCAACCCTAAACCCCACCTTGTTTGGCCAATCAATACCCCATCGAGTCATTTAACAAATCAAGTTAATTAATTAATTGAGCGGGTGGAGAAATGCAACACAAATACATGGGATGGCTGAGGTGCCCCAAAGAGGAGGCTCTGGAACTAAGGCAGAGTTCATGCAGCTATCGAACAAGATATCTAACTTTTTTGTATAACTGACAAAATTCTTGTTTACTCAATTAACACAATAAAAAAATAAATATACAATTATTACCAAGATAAACAGGCTTAAACATGTTCTTTGACTGCCTAAGACTACTGCACAGTACTGAATACATATTATATATATGTAATGATATTTATATTCATTGTGCTGCGTCGTCACTCCATTCATTTGAACTTGAACATGCCGAGCAGAAGTGAACATGCCACAGTAGAGATACTCAGACAGTTCCTCATACACGTGAATAAATCCTCTTCAAAGGTGCAGAACTGGACTGGTCACGTGTCAGCAGGATTTCCCCTGCACCAGCCACGAACCGCGTCTCAAACGGCAAATCGTTTCCCAGAATTCTCTGCAGTGGTTTTGTGCACATAGTTCATGACATGTAGCTGGAAGAATCAGGATGCAGATGACCATCCTTCCATCGTCTGTCTGGAATGTTAGCCTATGTTACTGTAACGGTCAGGTCAAATCCACTGGCAGCCTTAACTGTGTGAAGGGACATTTTCCTGACATAGATGCTCTGTTATTTAGCACCACTATAAAGTGTACTCTAATATGAATGTTACGGCGTCTAACAGTATTAAATATAACCTTTAAACGGTCAACAGGTAGCCGTCAAATAAGTAGAAGCTCAACGTTTCTTGCCTTCTGTTTACGGAATAAATCGTGGTCAGTTGGTCTTTACGGTAAACATCTCGCTTACGGTTGACCAACTTGACCGCCCATGCTCCTACGGTAACACACAGAAAGGGAACAGAAAAATACGTTTCACAGGCGAGCATCTATCCTCCTAGCACCACGGAGACCGGCGTGTCTTTGAAGGTGAACTGAAAACGTTTCCACGCAGACGGCCCCCAAAAGGAGAAACATGGTACAGCTTCTCATGTGGCTTTACCTCCGCCCCTCCTGAGATGGTACGGACAGCCCGTCCGAAAAGCCACGGCCAACCGGCGAGTTGCCTAGGACATCCCAACGCGCCCATCACCTCATTACCAATGCAACCAGTGCAAAGTCTCCGAGAAAAGAGTTTTACACAAAGCTCGGCTTATCTTCTGTAGTCACAAGGACTATTTCGGAATGAAAGCGTTTTCCCTGCCTCACTTCCTGTAGCCTCCGCCGTAGTTAGGCGTAATGCAGCCCGCCACTGCTATTCAAACAAAAAGCAGCTAATTGGCTTTTTGTCATATATTATTGTCATTGTCTAGTAGCGTAACATCCTTTCATCACAAGGGATTAAGGTTAGACATTAAAATCTTTAATCTTCCTGACGTGAATCATTGTTTTCTTTTAGTCTGATAACGATTTAAGCAAATGAGGAAACCTTGGTTTTCCTGGCAGATTAGCTATAATTAGATCGCCCATTTTATGCATACAGGATTTAAACGATATTGCTTTTCCAACATATATTTTACGCAAATACTCATTTTCTGTCCAATTCAAAGGATATAAATATGCAAGGGAACCATTCGTATAGAACAGTCATTACAAAATGGTCCGAATATGACATAAAGCGGCATTTTCTATTGGAAAAGGGAACTATCTTCAAAAAACTAGGTGTTCTGGCGGAAACTGCTCAACATCACATCAGATGCCCCAGCGGTTTTGACATACAAACGACCAGCCGGCGAATCGGTCCCCGGTTCGATTAAATGGGAACCGGACGGCGCGTTTCTCCCGAACGAACCGCGACAAGGAGGAGTTTGAATCAACCCCCCAAAACCTGCACTTTCCGCGAGTCCAATGACACCTACCCCCGTCGGGTCGGCGGCTTGCACCGTTTGCAAAACAATACCTTTTGCAGGGGGGGGGGAGAACATAAAGGTCAAGATAAACCCTACAAAGATCCGACATCTACACGGCCGCAGCCGTCTTCATCAAATATATAGCCAGCCGACTGCATAAAATGGATTCGACTCTTAAGTCCAAATAAAAAAAAACCAAAAATAATATATCACTAGGGGGTCAATCTGATACCATCAAATAATTCGAATATATAGATATCAGATGCTAAATCGTATTAGATTGCTGTCGATCAGCAGGGGAAATCACACCGTAATAGCATAACCTTGTTACCTTCTGCACAACCCGCGAGCCACCATTATGTGGATACATTTTATTTCATTTATTCCGGCCGCTAGCTCGGCAGCACCCGATTGATACCCAGTAACTGGGTTTGATCGGCCGCTTAAAAACAAGATGTCTAAAACATGCAAGACACCGCATTTGGTTCTTACGTTGTCCTAACCGTTTTTAGCAATCGCAAACGGAAGCTAGCTAGTTCCACCTTGCCTGATAAAACAGCGAGTTAGTTAGTTACAATAAAACACGATCGCATGCGCCAATTACTCTTAATAACTACGGATCGTGTGCGACTGTAAAAATTGTAAATTCACAAAGCGATTTTGATATACTACCTCAACAGACGTCCAGGGTCGGTACAGCGTGGTTTCCCTTATTTAAAAAAATCTGAGTATTTTTCTCTCGCAGAGGGCAGAACGCAGGCCCTGACAGCCCCCAATCCGCGGACCTAGGCCGCTTCCAGCCCAAGGCCGGGACGGTCAGGAAGGAGCTGTTTTGTGCCTCACATCAAACCACTTTAAAAATGTGCATGTTTCCCCCCGACGGATCCCTTCGATGGCTTTTGTCTTTCGTGCGATCTTACTGTTTTGTTTCTCTTTACTGATGTTATTGCGACTCTTTCTGCCCTGCTCCAGGAATCCGACTTCTGATTTTAAAAAATACTCACAGAGCCGAAATACTGTAGAGAGCACGGGAACCTGAATACGAAATACAGTAATTGCCGGCCACAAAACACACACCGGAAACTTGCGCTGCATGAACACATCACATCCCGAGGGAGTAAATGTCTAATATCAGGCCCAAATATTTTGATGTATAGACAATATAAACATGCGAAACCTAATAATTATCATTTGCTCGGAAAATCGATTATGCGCGGGAAAAGAAAATCATCATATTCGGTAAACATTTCTGCCAACTTTTTTAAATGATCGCTCGTCAACTGATAAACCAATACATACATATTCGCTGGATTCTGATATTTTAAATACATCATGTTTTTTTGTGCACTGCATATGCAAGTTCTTCAGAATTATAAGACCGTTTATTCTCTATTTGTTAATCATCTACGGAACCCAAGTCTTTGGACAAAGTAATTTCATTAGCTATAATACATTACATTCGAAGTTGCTATACACATATGGAGCTATCATGAATTGATTCTCACAAAAGGAAAATTCTTGTTTTTTTTTTAACATTAAGATCTGTTTTATTTTATGAAGTTGGCTATATATGGAACTGAAATACAGGAGCAATCTTTTCTTGGCAGATGTAAATTGGCAATTTTCTTTCTATTATATTATGAATTGTTTTGCTTATTTTAATGTTTTTACAACAAGGTTCACTTGCAAACTGCCTGCATGCAATACCGACTTTTAACATGAAGCATTGTGTTTTGACATTACGCGTAAATTTTTGTATTATTTCTGTGAACAAATTTTATTCTAAAAACCACCATAAATTGTATGAGTGTTTTTGTTAAGCGCGTAGTGGTCGTCGCGTCATTTATTAGGATATTTAGTGCATTTCTTTATTAAGCAATAAAATACATTTGTTATATTTGTTCGTTGGTATTATTGTAGTAGAGTATTATAAGTTATAATATAACTTACATGTTTCACTTGGTATTATTAATGTATTTGTGTTTCACGGTAGCAGTTCTTGGGCAGTATGCATTTGTTCTGTGTACTTCCTGCCAATTCATTTTGGAATAAGAACCGCCTGACGTGGATAGACACCTCCTGTACAGTAGGTGGCAGAAATGACAATGGTAACACTTCCTTTGTTCAAATACAAAAGTGTTTAATGCTGATCATAAGATGGCAAGTTTTACCACAATCGTGCTTAAAATGCATATAAAGCTTGTATCTATGAAATACTGGTATATATACATTTTCAGCCATAACACAAGGTATCGGAACCTAATGAATTGCGGAAGTGATGGGCTGTAAAGGTCGCATGACTCGGGTCATTTCCAGTCACGTGATCAGAGGACCAATCAGGTGTGCGGTGATTGGGTGGTTTGTATCGATTACGCGGGACTGTGTAGTTTTGTTTAGTTGGAGCGGGCCGAACGCATTTCGGCCTATCAGCGTTAAGTGCGGTCGATCAGCTTCCTCTTTGTCGCAGAATGTCCAAATAATAGCTTAACGACCGTATGTCTGCCTTACGACATGTTAGTTGGGTACAGTAGCAGTTCCGAAGAAGAAGAAGAAGAAGAAGAAAAAGGAAATATAAAAGGCGAAAAACGAAAACGACAGCGCAGTGAAACTGATTACCCTTCCAGTTTTTGTAAAAAGGTTAAACCTACTACGGGCTCTGAGTAAGTATTAAACAAGTTAATCAGTTTTGAGTTATATCATAATTGTGTTAGTGTAATTATATTACTGTGGCACACTGTTTACCACTACCAGTTTCTTTCCCTTCCAAACAGCTACCTACTTACTCATAGTGTCTCTGCCTTTGTAGTTTTAAATGCAGAATTCTCTAATTTTGATATGAAACAAAACGATTAACAACAAGCAAATGGAAATATTTTAATTTTCACTTTTCTTCATAAATTGTATCTTCCTTGTGATTTGCTGAAAATTACCTAAACGCTGCAATTTGAGCAATTTCTATCCCTTTATCTCTCTGTTTGTTTGAAAAGGCAGATATGACTTATTCTGTCATATTTGTCCCTCGTATTATTTCTACTGTAAGCTTTTTTTTCTGCATGTTAACATCTATCCAAACTATATTCCATCTATCCAACTTCTATCTGCTCATTAGGTTCCTGGGGTAATGTAATCTAAAACGTCTTTGGGTTCAGAAAGAGGCAGATTTAATCTAATGGGGATAAATCATAGGAGGTCACCTGTCTCTCATGTCATCACTGAAAGTGTTAAATCTTTCGAAATAAAAGTCTGCTTTTGTGGGGAACTGAACAGTAATATCAACTTATACAGTAAAATCCATAAGATTATATAAATCTTGAAGTTTTGATTCTAAATAGTTTTTAATTATATTTGCTTTGTCATGAATATGGTGTCACAGGTTTCATAATTTAATTGGCAACAGGTGTCTTTAAATTGGGAGCTAATGTACAATCATTCATTTCACACAAGTACTATGCATTTTTCCTCATCATGCAATTTTATGGTGGGGTCATTTCATTTTAATGCAACAAATTTCAAAAAATGATTTTGCACAAGTATTTCTGATTTTAATGAAATTTCGCTTGTGAATTACACAGAACTGACAGAGCCCAGAAATATTTTTTGTTTATATAAAAAAAATCCCTTTGAGAAATGGTGCCTTTTCTACAATGGGGGTTAACGAAAAATTATAACTCATAGTGTTTTGTTTTGAGCTGCGACTTTTTAGCTGTGACAGCTCTGGTATGCCTGGACTTCATCTTGCAAGAAAAAGGAGAAAATCTTTGGAAAGTCCCACACACTTTAGGGTACTGTTGTTTAATAACCAAAAGCAGTAAAAAAAAAATATGCAGTTTGCGAGATGAACTTTGACCTTAAATAGAGAAACGTAGACCCATGAAAAATTAAATTTGGCCATATTATGAAAAGTATTCTTTGTGTGCCTTTTCAGTCACTTTCGCACAGCACAATGGGAACTGTGACTTAATCATGGACGATAAAAAGCTTGTAGCTTAAACGTAACGTAATTTCATACGGAACTACACTGTCACCACAAAACAATGGAGGATGTTATTTATATTTTATTTATATGGCCCACTACATTTTTATAATCCATTATTAAATCTGGCCAGCAGATCAATCTTTCATTTCCTACAAAATAGCAAACAATGTGACATTATTCTGCTAATAAGTGCTGGTGATATTAGACAGGAGTATGTTGGTTGCCAAACGGATTTTCCGATGCAGGAATGTGGAGATGCCAGAAAAATGGTTTAATGTAGATTAATTGAGGTACAAAAATAATTCCATCTGCTTCATTTTTGCTCCACTACTGCTATCTATTTTTTTTCCCGCACTTCTGTATAACTTCCAAGTTAACGCCGGTGTTTGTGGTCAACCGCTAAGCCTCACCCATTAATTCCTGGTCTAGCGATAAGTATCTACTCCGGAGTACGGACTAAAAAAAGGTTCAGGACCAACCCCTGAGGATCTACAGTCGGCTCGAGGTCCTGCGTTGGGAAGACAACGCAAGTTCATGATGCGAAAGCGCCAAAAAACGCCCACACGTTTTTGACCAAAGTAAACCTTATGCTAAGGAGTACAAGTTCGTCTGTTTTTGGATGTTTAGTTGTAAAAGGGACATACAGTTTTCTGTGATGTGATATGGAGCTTAGTTGGTTAAATATGTGAATTCATTTGTGTGTTCTTTCCTAACTGGGAAGAGACCACAGCCAACCCCAATCAGAGGATGGAATCTGTATCGAAGAGACTCCTCCCCTTCACCAAAAGCCCCGCCTACCCCTGCCAGAGAGTGTGCTGGAGATGTTTCCAGAGGAGAAGGTGACAGAGGACAGCTCACTACACGGCGGTCGAGTGCGCTCCTTCCAGCATGAGCGAGGGAACTGGGCTACATATGTGTACCTGCCTTGTAAGTGTTGATCGCTATACCATGGAGGGTGCCACCATCCCATTACTAATTTTGTCACACACCCTTTTGGGTGTCCCTGCTCGTAGATCATCCTGAGGATGGCTTTTTGGAGCTGCTGGAAGAGATGTCCCGGCTTACAACTACCCACGGGTTCCAGCTGTCGTGTTCCACTGAGTTCCACCTCAGCCTGTCCCAGACAGTCGTGCTCCCTCACCATTGGATCCAGCCCTTTGTGATGTCCCTCCAGACGGGCTTGGCCCAATGTTCCCGGTGAGTTGGGCTCTCTGACCTCCTCCAGGCTCCTCTTTATCTGTGCGTTGGGGGTTCTGTCATGACCAAACCTTCTGCGTTAATCCGTCCATCAGTCTTACAGGGTTGGAGTCTTTCTACAGTAGTCAGTCTTTATTTAAAAATTAAGGAAGAAATTGAATCCAAAAGGATAAGGCGATGTCTAGTTTACCTTTTATTTGGGTGCTTATGGCATGTGCTTCTGTCCACTGTAGGTTCAGCTGTATTGCGAGCCAGCTGAAGGTCTACAGCAACCAGGAGAAGACAAGGTGAGATCACGCAGGAACCATGCAAGAGTAGATCCAGAGTCAGCAGAGTGCTTTATATTTCACAGCCATACAGCCTTTTATCATCAGCAGTTTGCATTAATTATGAGTCAGCCTAGTTACGATAATTAAAAATGATCATATAGGACACCTAAAATGACATGTTGGAAAAACATTTGTTTGGTATGTCCAGGTTACACTGATCATGCATACAGAACAGAAAACAATTTATAAGAAGTGTCAGTTGTGGTTGTGTTCTGCTGCAGAACCTTTCTTGCACTGGAGGTTTCCACGGGACACGCTCAGCTGCTGGAACTGGTTAGAGTCGTGGACAAAACGATGGAGGAGTTTAATCTCAGTACCTTCTACCAGGTCAGAGCCCCCCATGCACATTTTTGGTCAGGGTGACTTTGAGGTGTTGGCTTGTGTAGCATATAAACGTGCTCAGAAACCTGCAAAGGCAGCGTTGGTCCTAAATCGTCACAGATTGTGTTTTTCTGAAAATATATATATCTGCATTTGTGTGGGATTGTTTTTAGTAATGTACCATTGAACACATACACAAACAATCAAGGACTGGGGTTCAGTCCGAAACACAAGGAAAATAAAACGAAGCCTCTTTAGGTAATCCTATATAAGCACATTTTCCAGATTAATATGGATTTCCATCCCATTTCGGCAGAGTACTCACCTTTATCATATTTCTGTGGACATGCTGGTCATTTGGCAGTGTGTCTGTGAGACATGAGCTCAGTGGATATTTAAGCCTGGTGCCACTTCTCCCCACAGAAACCTTCCTTCCACATCAGCCTGGCCTGGTGTGTGGGTGACCAGTCGGACAGGCTGCGTGCTGAGTGTCTGCCGCAGCTCCAGGTGACGCCTCCCTTTCTCTGCCCGCACTTTAAGCATATGGGCACACATGCTCTGTGGTGGTTTCTGCGTGTTTCTGTGCGTGGTACAGCCGCCAGGCAACTAGTCATTCCAAAGATAGAAGATTATTAGTAACTTGTGAAGTTGATTTGCATGCCTTTCGTATGAATCGTACCACACTAAAGGCACTTTTCCACTGCACCAGGTATCATAGTTTTGATACTTCAAAAAAGTACCAAAATTACTGTACTTTGTGGTGGTTTTCCACTATTGTAAAACCTGGCGCTGAAAGACATCACAACGTGAGGCGGATATTTTGTACTGAATTAAAAAAATGGCTGTAGTATGTTATAGAGATGGGCAATGTGCAATAATGATACCAAACACTGCATGCTATGCACACAAAGTTCTCACATTACAAGCTCTGTGATAGTCAGCTGGTTTGAGATCAGGTGTATTCATACCTTTATACCAGGGGTGGTCGATCTTATCCACAAAGGGCCGGTGTGTATGCAGCTTTTCGATGCAACTCCCCAATTAGATTACTGGCCACCCCTGCTAAATGCCGTTTGGACATTATAGCACGGGGCGTTTAAGTTTCACAAAAACATTTGTACTTTGTCATACGAAACAAAGCTTAGCAAGAATTGAAAGTTTAAGGATTATTCCTTTTCAAGATTATCTAGTATACGCTTAAAAATAATTTTAAAGTTTACTGCTGCTGCTTTTGAGTGAGTTCTGCATATGCTCTCTGTCAATTGTAATTATTTTCATGCATACTGTTTAAATCCTAAATGAGTGTAAGATCTTGAACTAATTTGTTTTATAAATTTCCCAATATCAATTCCAGCAAAATTACATTGCAATATTTGATTTTTTTCCCCCCAATATAATGGAGCCCCAGTGGAACCAGATCACCATTAAAGCTCTCCTTTTGTCCATGCATACATTATTATCACCTTTTTTTTTTTTTTTTTTTACTCCATTTATCGTTGTTTTCTGAGTTCACAACTTTGTTCAAGGTGCCAGTTGTATTGTGCTTCATAGGCAGGCTATTTGCATAGCCATTTAACAATGAACACTTTCAAGTCCCACCCAAATACCAAAGAAGTATCCCAGCTGCTGTGATACTTTCGGTACTGGTACTCGATTTGAAGTCCATGGAAAGTACCCAAAGTACGGTACCCGGTGCGGTGGAAAAACACCCAAATCGACAGCCCCCATGAGCCTGTGTGAAATAATCTGTCCCGTGGCACCTGCTGTTCCCCCTAGAGTCTCCTGGACTCCCATGAAGATGCCGTCTTCCCACTGAGGCTCACTTGCCAGCAGCTCCGCTGTAAGGCTGGAAACAAGATGTTCTGCTTTCAGCTGTGCTGAGCTGGACTGCCTTGCCTCGCCAGAAGAACTAACATCAGTCATCATTATGCCATCCTTGACTCAAGATTATTTAGGCTATGGCTGGTAAATCATCATCTTAGAGTGATGATACACAGGGCAACTGTCTGAGCATTGTTGCTCTGGCACGTTCCCGTCCATATCAACAAATTTCTATTTGAAAAACTCTGGGAGTGGGCAACTTTTTGTAATTGCCCAGATCCAGACGAGTTGCCCGTTGACTCACCTGTTTGGTAATTACCTGTTACATTGTACAAAAAGTTGCCCTGTGTATCGTCACCTTTAGTCTATCTATGCCCGGCGATGGACTGGCTGGATATCATGGCTGTACTCCATTATTGTGCCCTGTGTTGCCTGAAATGAAATTCCCAGAGTCCCTGTATTCCTGACCCGGATAGATGGATGGATGGATAAATATTTTGTAAACATACTTTTAAAATACTGGTTATAAATGGCATGAGTTTGTAAAAGATAGGAAAATACACTGCTGTCACCATTAATTCGAAGTAAACAGGTTTCTGATAAATATTTATTGAGAAAATTCCACTTTGTTCAACCAACCTTCATTTTTGGGTGGAGCTCATACATGACGATCCAAACCAAGGCGGGGTGGGGGGGGTGGGAGGGGTTAAGGCATGCGAGCCACCACACCCAGAAGGTAACCAGGAGTGAACTTCCCTTTAATGTACAGAGGGGCTGGGAGTGGATGCCGTTTGCAGCCAGCATGTGCACTGCAGGGCGGCATCCAGCAGGTGGTGCAGTTTTCTAATGAAATGGGGCAGGAAATCTTCATGGGAAGAGACTTGTTTTCCCCTGAATGGGGTCATTTTGAGCAGACATTGAGTAGAGCAGGTTTCCCCCGTCCCAGTTCTCCAGATTTATTATGAGCAAGATCTTAATGAATCAGGTTTGATATAAATATAAAATACTGATCTATAGGTCACGTTCGTTGTTCAAAAGTAATGGGTCCATTTCAGCTTATAAATAGATTAAATGGTCCCAGATTTATACCGATAGATTTATACCTGGCCTACAAAACAATCCATATTAGTTCAATAGTATAAGCTTAGATTCATTTTCATTTAATTACCAAATGTTTCAGGAACTAGGCACTATCAATAATGAAATGTTGAACTACAGTCATATTTAGCACTTAAGAATGTAATACCCCAAAAAACTTTTAATATTATTTCAGCATGTAAAAGCACAGTCCAAGGCCAACGCAACAGCACGCGGCAGTCTGAGGAAGCCTGCGGAGCTGGTGCCGGGAGAATGCGGGGTGGTGTGCAAACGTGTGGTCCCTTATCAAGTGAAGGTGCTGTGAAGAGAACGGTCTCAGTAGGCTGGGCGCACACACATGCGGCACACAGTACAGCTCAAAGACAGTTTTTTACAGTTTAACTACGTGACAGTTACATGTTCTTGGACTGAGGTCAAGTCAACTCATGAATGGAGGTTACTAGGTCAATTGTAACAGGTGTCCGTTCAGAAAGGGCACTGATCACCCCTCTATGGACAATGTAGGAAATCCTATAAACAAAATCATGTATATCAAAATAAAAGCCAATAATAATAACAATCAATATACTCAAGGAAAACAATGACAGGTGAAAGGTGGTCAGCCGTAAAAATGGCCAGGATCCCCCTCCCACCCCGCACTGAGAATAAAGGCCTCCGGTTGGCATGACGACTGGAGACACTTAAAACCTCAAAAGGTCAAACATTCAGGCTGCAGCGGCAACCGTCATCAGTAGTGGTTTGACAGGGCTGCAAATGCAGGAGAATTAAATTAAACAAAATATAACGGTAACACACCTTAAAAGAAAAAAATTAAAAGGCCAATTAAAACCGGAGCCAGTTTTAATCCTGGGCTCAGTCTTTGTTCAAACAAACCGGGACTAGCAGAAGAGTCCGCTTGTTATACTTTGCAGTCCCACAAGCCCAATAGAAATGATCTATTGACTACGGTCTTGGATTCTTAGAATACTTCTGCGTCCTTTGTAGCGTGAAGGCGAGACTATGACATCACCGCTCTGCCTGGGCTATCAGGGGGAGAGGACCACGTTTTTGATGTATGCCACCGTGGTGCCGTTAAGCAGCATAGCCACGTGCTCGTTGCCCGGGAGCTCCACCAGGTGGACGGGCTGCGGCTGACGGCCCGACCAGCGGCGGCACTGGGTGGCGCTCACCAGGTTCACCGTGCCGTCGCCGTCGCCCTCCACCACGCTGGGCTCCACATCCGGGAAGGAGGCGTCGTAGTGGAAGGCCTCGGCTGTGGGCACGCCGCTACCGTACAGGCAGTGCACGGTGACGCCGGGCGGCTCCAGGGCGCTCACCAGCGGCTCCGTGTCCTGCCGCATGGCCCAGCCCTCTGGGAAGCCCACGTCGGAGAAAAAGCGCTGGTAGTCACGCAGCGTGTAGTTGGCGTTGGGCGTCGACACCAGCACCTGGTCGGCGGACCAGCTGTTGGCATACGGGAAGAGCCACGTGGTGGTGACGGCAGTGCGCTGCTGGGAGCGGATCTTCAGGGGGCTGATCAGCGGGATGTGGTCGTTGTCACCTGTGACGGGGGGCGGGGTCAGAGCACAATTAGCCAATGAGCTCACTTCACTAATGGATTCACACATGGCACTACAGTGGCCGACCTGCAAAGTGAGCTAATGTGCTCATACTGTTCATACAAATTCAACACACTCACAGTCTCTCTCTCTCTCTCTCTCTCTCTCTCACACACACGCCTCTACCTGATGCCACCACTCTGAGCGTTTTAGTCACGCCCCCCCAGGGAGGTGCCAGGGCAACAAAGGCCTTGATATAGCGGTCCTTCCAGGCTTGCGGCTGCTGGTTTAGGAAGTACAGTGTGTACATGTTGCCCATGCTATGAGCCATCAGCAGCACAGGGCTGCCATACTTCTCAGCCATCTCCTCGATCATCTTCTGCAGCTCCAGGAAGTAGGCCTTGTTCTCATCTGTGATGTGGAGAGAGAGGATTGGTCCGGAGAACAGCACCAACAACTTCACTATAGTAAAGCTGTATTTATATTCTGGAATTACAAACCGGTGTGGATCAATCCACTGGCATTAAAATTGGGCTGGAAATGGCTGTTGGGAAATTTAGAAAGGATATCAAGTTCAGGGAGGAAACTGTATTTTGAAGCCATTCTTAATCATTACTGGAAGACACAGTTAGCCATTATTAGGGGAAAAAGGAATCGTAACTGGAAAATTCCATGTTCTGTGGAACAGTGTAAGATTTTTCCTACACTCCTTTTTAATAGCAGAAGGTCATGTAATATGTTAGCCCAAATACAAGATGGATTTTTTTTTCTTACAAAATACGTCTGACAAAGTGTCATCTTTCGGGGTCTAGACAAGAAAGGGAAGAGTTGGCGCGACATTCAATTTTTTGTAACAAGTGTTTTGACTTACTGTGATACAGACTCCCGTAAGGCGAGTCAAAGCGTGAGCGTCACGCCAGGTGTGTGAGAGTTGGCAGCCCTGGCAATGTGCATGTTTAGCGTGTATCCTTGAGTGTCGTGTAAATTGCTGGCTTCCCTGGCTGAGTCACTGCTAGTATTAAAGCGATAGTGGCTGTTAATAATGACAGTAACATTTCAGTTGTGAAAGAGCTGTCATTTCATTTATTAATATGGCTCAACCAAATACTCAAGATTGTAAAATACATCATCAACCCCCTCCGATAATATATTTGGTTTTTTTTTTGGAATGCTTGCTGTTTAATGCTTGCTGTTTATTGAGCTAGTATCGGGAAAAATTCATTGTAGAGTCTTAAAGCACTTATGTAAGTTGCTCTGGCTAAGGGCATCTGCCAAATGCTGTAAATGTAAATATAATACACTTAACCGAATACACTTAACCAACTGCCTGTGGCTGCTGATTAACTTCTTGTATGTTCCTGTCAAATAATTTTAAGATTTGGTATTCCAAAAAGTTTTTTTCTAAAAATAGTTGCTAAAAAGTGGAGGGTTGTCTTATTCGAGCCAATACGATAATTGTACATTAACTGGGAGAATATTCCTAGTCACGTTTTTTTTATTTGCACGACAAAGATTAATCAATTTGTCAGGGAAAGTTATAGAAACACCTGCAGAAACCTGTAAAATTTGTGTAAAATTTTATAATAGCTAAGATTTACAGCATATTATCATGCCATCTTCAAAGCTGGCATTTTGTTCCCTGATCTAAAGTTCCAACCGGCCATGTAGAAAGTGCGCATGTAGAGTGTTTGTGGGGTGTATGAGTACTCAGCAGGGATGCGGTAGTGAGCTTGGCAGTGTCTGTACTCACTGGGGGCCTTGCGCCAGTCATAAGGAGCCCCCCGAACATCCTCGTCCCGTGTGTATCCCCAGTCCACCAGCGCCTGCACTATGGCAAAGAAGTAGATACCTACCAAGGAAGAGACATTCTCTATAATACCTGCAGATACTTCTGCACACAAAACTCATTGGATACGTTTTTTTTTTCCCCCCCCCTTCATTAAATCATATTGGCTCCATCGAAAGATAGTGTGCTGTGGAAAACCTTTCCTGGCTCCGAGTCTCCACAAAGCGAAGCCTCACTACTGGGAAAGAGCATCTTAGTACTGGTACTGATTCTGTGTTCCAGCATTGCAGAGATGTTCTGTCAGGTTGAGGCCGGGGGCATTGCAAAATTCTGACAGTCTCCGCAAACCAAAATATCCTGCTGCTACTTCCTGACGCGGCACACGAATTTGATGACCGGTAAAATGAGTTACTCACGTATACAGCCTTGCAACCACACACACACAAACATACATGCGCACACAGCCTGTAGCAGCTCAGTCACTCACCCACAGTGCGTTTACTGGGGTCCAGAAACTCCAGGGGGTAAGTCTTCCCGAATCCAGGCACCCGCACAATCACCCCAGGGGGGGCCTCTGTGCTTCTCGTTGTCTGGTTGTAAATCAGCCTGAGAGAGACAGGTGCACACACAGACACTCTTAATCCCCTAACAAGTACACCTGGTTTCTGTACCCATAGTTAAAATGAGATTTCACGTCATGCAAGCAGCTAGGGCTATATTCATGATGAAACATAGGTTACATGTAACAGTTTAACACACAGCAAGCTGTAACAAGATTACCTAGAGATTATATAATCCTAAATAAGGTGCTTTACATTGGCTTTAGTAAAAAAAAAAAAAAAAAAAAATGTCTAGAACTGCCTCTGGTTGATTTCGGTATCAAATCCCCATCTAGAGTCAACATTCGGTTCTGCATACATGGTTATATACAGCTAATTAATGAGGAACACAAAACTGAGAAAGAGAATCAGAAGTGTCTCTGTCACCTTTGGCAGAAAAATGTAAATGGAACACGAGATAGAGAAACAGATAAACTGAAAGGGAAGTTATTTCAGACGTGCAATAAACCTCACCGACACCAGCTGCTGTCAGAGAAAACTGCAGCCTCGTTTTAGGGGCTATGTCCACTGGCAGTGACAAACTGATCACAGTGTCAATGGTTTCGTACTAAAGGCTGGACGAGAGGTCAGGGGCTCATGTTCCCCTCTCAGCTCAACTCACCGCATGTTATCGATCCAGCAGTCGATGGCCACAGGCACCAGCAGCTCCAAGTTGAGCCAAAGGGTGAAGTAATCATCAGTCTTCTTGTAGCAGACATAGTGAACGACACTGGGCTTATCCAGCTTGGCTTCCAGCTGGTTCCCCAGGTCTCCTGGGACTGCAAGACAAGGTCATACGGTCATGTGACTAAATCAGACCTACCAATCAGAATCTGGTGTTGACGGGCCTATGGCAATGTTATCCGAGCTGAAGGTACTTGAAGATATGCAGCGCTTTACCATCCAGGTGCAAAGAGGTGACACTGTCAGGTTGATGTGATCAACTCATACCTTTCTCAGTTCAAATTGAGTTTTTGAAACTGCAGAATTTTTACCAAGAATCGCATAGCAAACAAAAAAAAAAATCTCTTCACATATATAAGGAATATACTTTAGGACACATAATTACACTAGATCTTAAAGTAAAAGAAAAACACACAAATATAGAGAAAAAGGAGGTAGTTTAACTAAAAGCAGAGCACATTTCACGTCAGTCAGGACCATTTATACCAGGATTCTTCAACTCTTGACCTCGATTCCAAATCCAGGCCGTGTTTTCAGTTCTCCCAGATAGTTGTTTAATAATGACTGATTCTGATTGGTCAGAGGCTTCACACCTGACTGACAGGTAAAGGAAGGCTGGAAAACCAGCAGTGCTCGGACCTCGAGGACCGTGAGCTGAATAACCCTGATTTATACACAACATAAAGCATCTTATAATGGCAATGTATAAACCAGTCAATGCATCAACCACTTTATTTAATTTTTTTAAGTTGTTTTATCCTAGAACTAAGGTTCAACCAGCTCATTGTGGGCAGACTATTTTGTAGCCACTCAGAAAAGCATCACTAAGCAGTTACAGAATATTTTAACATCTGTAGCATTAATACATCCATTAATTCATTTTGATTGTAATGAATAAGATACAATTGCTTAGTTTAAAAGGAACAGCGAATACTTTCAGTTTTTATTAGTCTTGTGTTTTACATTGTCGTAAACAAACTTCTCTCCAAGTGCACAAAATTACACAACCATTTCCACCGCAAAACAGTATTACTGTGTGTTTAAGTAGAGGAAAATGGGATCAGTAACGTATTATTGCAATGCAAATTTCACTGTATATCTGACGTTTCACGCGCAACACAGGAGGGCAATTTCAACACGCTGTCATATGACTTATTGAAGCAAGTTTCATTCCGAAATAAACAGCTAAAATATAACCACAGGCGTAGGTACTCCACACCACTCAAAAGTTCCGGGACACGAAAAATAACAATAAAATCACTACCATTATTATAAAATGCTTACAATCGTTAACCGATGACGTATATTATACATATAACGTATAGGCATGGCTATTATAGGCTAATCAGCTACGTTATTACAATGATTTTCAAATCATTTTTAAATTGGCGCAAATCTGCCATGCTTAACGAATGATTCATTTACATAAAACACTGTTACTGTGTATAACATGACATGTCTTAAGTCACAGATGTGAAACCGATTGCAGACGAAAATTTGAGTCACCAGCATATAATCAAGGAAATGAGCATTACTTACTCAAGACGACCGGGGGACGAGTTTTGCAGGACTTCTCTCTCAGGCATTTGTTTACAGGACTGGCGTTGTATGAAAGCACCATTAACAGCAGCAACAGAAGCAGCATCAAGCCATAACTCGATGGCATCTCTTCCGCTGGCTCATAATTTAGTGGCTATAATAATTCTGACCTGGGCTGCTTTTATGGTTTTCACCACCACAGACCTACCATACACTGGGGCTTGTGGAAGTCACGGGACCAGACAAAAAGCACGAAGTATGTGAGAACAGTCAGGCGAAAATCAAAAGACAGAAGACATCGAGATCCGAAGGCATCGATTGGGAGCTTTGAGGGCGGAGGAAAAACAATGTAACACAGATTTCATTGATTGGCGGAGCTGGGTAACACCCCCGAAAAAAGGTTTATGGAAGACTTCGAACCTTATAGGTGACTGACCTGATGTTCTCTACAATCTGCTGATACAAACCTTACACCCCTACCAACCAATAAAAAGGCAGCTACATATTTGTTGTTCTGTCTGAATGCTGAATTGTTTGAAAAAAGTCTGGGCTTGTTGCTTTACTATAATCGTTTTAAAATCTTTTCATTTTCTAAATGATGAAACTGGCTTTATGGTGTAATTCGATCGTGTTCCTGACAACGAAACAAAACTCACTGAAGCCCAAAAGTGTATTGCTCAAAGGTAGTTCATACATTGCCCACACCACGTGTATTTGTAAAGTAAAATGCTGACCTACTAATCTGTAATCCAGCGCCACCGAAAATCATGTCACTTTAAAGGTTTCTCGGTAGATAAGTGAATACTTGTTCGGATTCCTCATGTTAATTTGGGAAATACCAAAACACTCAAAATCAGAATTCAACAGTAATAATCCAAAAGGTGCAAGTTAGAATTTAACTTACAAAATACAACTGAGCCCATTTTGGTAAGGCGTTTGTAAACATGTGAATAAACATATATAGGGACAGGCAGATTACAGTACATATCACACGTACCTGTATGCAAAAGCATAACGGTTTCTCAATGATAGTGCTTAGAGGTACGGTTTAGAATAGAATAGATAGAATCTGGGTTCTTTCATGATAATTACACTGCATATATGTGAGGTGTATATATAGGCTTCAGATAGTTTAGTAAAGTGATATTGGTTCTGTGTATATCTGCAGTTACCAATCAGTATCTTCCAATGATAAGAGAATACAACAAACAATTAAATTACAAAATGGAAACGGCAGCAACTAAAATGTTTTATTGATTAACATTATTTTATCTATTAAAATATTTATGTAATCAATTCTACAATCATAAACGCTGCAAATTAGTTCACAACAACAACAGATCAAATGTTCATACAGAAGAAGAAACATGGTTTTGCCAGTTGTTTAAAAAAACTTTCCTAATTCCTAGAAAACTCTAAGCTTAACCTTCTCTGATAACTACACACATTATATCGGTAAATATATTAATACTAGATATCAATGCATAACACCTATGTGGAATTTGAACATGGCTAATATAATTAGAAAACATGAAGAGACAAAGGGATGTGGTTACTGTCCTGTAACTTTGCAATGGAGCAACAAAAACTGCATTCAGATGTACAAGTACATCCCAGGAGCATTGTGTTTGAGTCTCACAGCCTATGTGGATGGCTAATAATTATAGCCCCTTCTCCTTATCTGCAGAATTTGGCGTGGGAGATGATGTCTGGTCCAGCTGTGTGGGGCTAGGGATGGGGGACTGATCAAATTGTGCTGAAGCGGGGCTGGGAGGTTGCTCTGACGGCCACGGTTTTCCCTCTAGGATGTTCTGGATTAGGGTGAGCACCTTGTTGTGGAAGACAATGTCCAAGTGGGGCATGCCTTGGAACTCTATGACGTGCACCGGCTGCTGCTGCCGGCCAACCCAGCGTTTGCAGAGACTCATACTGCGGCTGTCCACTGTGTCGTCGCCATCGTCGTATAAGATGTCCACTGGGTCTGCGTCCGGGAACTGCTGGTCATACACGTAGGTGACTGGCGTGGGAAGCCCCACCCCGTACATGCAGTACACCTCCACACCTGGTGGGGGCAGGCCGGCTGTTAGGTCCTTGGTGTCTTTCCACATGTACCACCCATCCTCAAAGTTGATGTCCTGGAAAAAGCGTTTGTAGTCCCGGATGGTGTAGTTGAAGGACGGAGTGGAGATGAAGACGTGGTCCTCGGGCCAGGCCATTTCTGAAGGGATAATCCAAGGATTGGTAGTAGTCATTCGCTGTTTCTCACGGATCTTGATGTTGGATACGAACGGGATTCCATCATTTTCACCTGATGATGATGGAGGGGCACCAAAAGGATGGATCCTATGTTCAGATATCTCTTCACAATAAAAATATGGCATGCAAATCATTTTGTCCAAGAAGAATTTTAAAACACCTTGTATAGGAAATGATGGAATTAGGTGCGTTTCAAAGTTATGTCTGTCCATCCATCCATTTTATATACCCTCTAGTCTTGTGCAGGATTACTGGAGTCCGGACCCTATCCCAGAAACTTTGAGTGCAAGGCAGGGAATAACAGAAGCCGGGACAGCAGCTCATCGCAGGGTGGGCATATATACGCATGTACAGACAATTTGGCAATTCCAATTCACTTTAGCATGTTTGTGGACTGTAGGGGGAAACCAGACAACCTAGAGTACAAGTGTCAGACTCCAGTCCCACATTTTTGGGTTTCCCCTCGTTTAACACACCTGATTCAACTTGTGCTAATTACCACACAGCTCTTCAGCTGAATCATTTGTGGTGGAACTGAGAAAGAATTAAGCTACATAGGGCTCCGGCCCCCCAGGACTGCAGTTTGACACCCCTGACCTAGAGGAAACCCCACAACAACACGGGAAGAACATGCAGACTCCACACACATGGAGCTGGGGCGGAGAGATTCAGTTATGTGACTGAAAAAATGACATGTAATGAATGCTGGATATCTGTCCGTTGGAGCACTCAATAGCTCGCGTAATACATAGAGCTGACTGCCCCTGCTTCTGTGCGCCACAGAGCGAAGGACTGGTGCGCTGCTGTTTAACCAGGCTGCTCTTATCTGACAAGATTAACTAGACAAACACCCACAAAGCATGATTAGGCCAGACATTCACCTAGGTTTTGCAAGATTATCATGTATAAAGGCTGTGTAAAGCTTTTGCGTGTGTTTTTTAAATAAAAACATTACATTTTCATTCTTAAAAACTGTTAGTTTCAAGTCAAACACATTGTTTGATTTGTGTATTTAAAAAAGGCAAATGCTTCTGTTTGCTTTGCATGTTTAACCCGGACTGACTTCACTTTTACATAATCATAATTATGTCATAATGCTTTGCTGTTGGTGCATGACCCACCTGACGCCAGCACTCTGAGGGATTTGACTGCCCCTCCCCAGGGCGCACCCAGCGCTATGAAGCTCTTGATGTAGCGCTCCTTCCAGGCCTGGGACTGACGGTTCAGAAAGTACAGGATGTAGTTACATCCCATGCTGTGCCCAAGCAGATGAACCGGCTGTTGGTACTCTTCATACATCTCCTCCACCATGGCCTTAAGCCGTCCAAAGTACTTCTCCTGCTCATCTGAGAGACAAAAGCACTGTCACCACAGCTGCACACTGGGGAGAGAGCATCTGCAAGGTTTGGAGGGCGGTACTTACTGGGGGCAATCCTCCAGTCATAAGGTGCTCCTCGGACGGTCTCATCGCGAACATACCCTGCGTTCACCAAGTGCTGTACCATAGTGTGAAGGTACCCTGGATAGAGGGAGCAAATTAAACTGCATTATGATTCTGATGAGAATGACAAAGGTTTACGGGTGAGTGTAATAAGGACAGAACCATAACATACCTGTGAGTTTGTTGGTGTCCAGGAACTCCACTGGATATGTCTGCCCAAACCCCGGTACCTTCACCTCCACACCTGGAGAATTGGAGGTCTTGCGTGTTGTCCTGTTATACACAATCCTGCATGGAGAAGGATGTTATAAGCAGACATGGAACTCCAGAGGCACAGCCCAGCCCAGAAGCAAAACGAAGACAGAAGAAGGTGTGGCTTAAATGGAAGCAACAAAACAAAAGAGTGTAAGAGGTGAGGTGAGAGGCATCGTATTTTAAAATAATTTGAAATAAAATGGTTTCTCCCACACTGTCTCTGGACTGAGGTAATGTTTTAAGATAAGAAAATGTTTGGTTATTTTGAGTTAATTATCACTGTTGTATGTAAGTAGAACCACCCTATCCCTAAATTTCAGATTCAGGGTGGAAACACACGCCTACGGACCTGATGTTGTCAATCCAGCAATCAACACCAACGGGCATGAACATGTTGAGGTCAATCCAAATGGTGAAGAAGTGGTCCGTCTTCTTATAACACATCCAGTGCACCAGGCGGGGTTTGTCCACCTTGGCCTCCAGCTGGTTTCCCAGGTTCCCCGGTACTGTCGTATTTGAAAAGGATGCCTTAAAGTATGTCTGTTTTCTTTTTTGTCATGCACTTCAATGCTCATGGGAGAATTTAGTCTTGTCAATGTGATCTTTTCAATAAACAGAACGTTGCTCGGATAAAGTCCAGATTGTCCTGCCCACGTGGGTGCAGTCAATGCTTTTGCTGTCCGAAAATGGTTGTGAAACAGTAGTGAAGTGTTTGTCCTGTGACTATAATTTACTCAGTTCAGATACCCTCTCCTATTACCTGCTAGCTTCTGGTTCTTATGCTGTTTTCTGTCAGCATTACTGCACACCAGCTGTTTCTCTAGGACATGCAAAATCAACGGCCACTTTTTCAACCCCAGTCCCATACTGCAGACGTTGCAAAGGTTCCTGAAAGTAGGACACTTTGGAGATGTGGTGGACGCTACCAGGAACTATTATTTAGTTTTAATAGTTTTCATTTGGCATGCATACAATGTGCCTCCTTCGAGAAGAAGCAGTGCAGAAGAAGGGAAATGGACCCAAAAGTAACCATATTTAATGGCTACTGTGCCATAATCAGAAGCAGTTCCTGACGGCAAGAAAAAATGGAAAGGTAGCTAATATCAACCATTATACTTCCTGTAAGGTACTACATTCCTAATTATTGTTACAGCATGCAATCATCAAGGCATAACACTCAGGCATTCTGACTGTCATGCTCACGCAAGAAAATGTTACAATAAATCTACATTATTCCATTATAAAACTAAAATTAGCTGCATCAAAAGTGTTGGGCTAGTTTGCAAAACCGACATACTATTTACATTGTAATAAAACTGCTACATACACCGGATGTTTGCAACATTTAATAATCCCAGCAGTTGACATAGGTACAGTTACAGACTGAAGGTATTAGTTAGCATTAACCCCCACCCCCCCCCCCGCAACTCACCCAAAATCAGAGGTGGGGTGCTGTTGCTGGGCACGTGCTGGGGCTTGGCGTTCGGCGGGAAGATGACGTTAAAGAGCCAGAAGCCCGCCGCGCGCTGTAGAGCGACCAGCAGCACGAGCGAAATCAGGAGCCGCGCGCAGGCCATCTTCAGCTCTCGGGTCCCGCTGCGTCTCTTAGGGCCGAGTGCGAAAGCGAGCTATAAAGCTGTCTGTCCGGCGACCGGGGGAGGAGGCTTTCTCTGACTCGCATAGGGGGTGAGAAAAAAGAACAGCAAAAAAAGGTCAGGGATTCGTCCCTGGCACACACACTTAAAACTTCACGGTTGTGTCCATGCAATCACAGAAAATTAGATTCTGAAGCGAAGACAATATTTTTTGTTAAAGATAGTGTCTCTTACCAAAAAAAAAAAAACATGTAACGATTTTTGTTGTTTTATTGATTCCAGGCAAAACCAAAACCAGGAGTCTGTGCCGCTCGGTAGTGAAACATTAACGTTACTTGATATTCAATGATAAACTAATAACATTATTATCTCCCTGACCACAATAGTACTTGATAAGGTTTTCAGATGACAAACTTGACGTTATAGTATTGTTGATTAATAATTTAGCAGTGTTAAAGTTTAAAGAAACACACTTAACTATTAAAAGTCTGCGGTTTTAGTTTGGATTATTTATGTATCAACGTCTGTCCTTCTCGCAAATTATGAAAGTTCTTAAGGCCACTCTCTCTGGGGTAAACCTCGCGGGAATCACGTGACCGTGTGCCTGGCGTGTCCATGGAGACAAGACGCCGAATGAGAGAACTCAACATCGCTTAACATTTTTGCCAAGTCTGGATCTGATCGTAGAATGAACATGAAATTACCGTTTTTTTAAACTCGTGAGTTCTTTTAACTGTTCTTGTGTAGTTTAATTTGTCCTAAAACAACATATAAGTAGCTCATTTGTGCTAAATGGAGGATCAGCAAAAAGAGAGGATACTGGAAGCAGAGGAAGAAGATGATCAGGGCTCAGAGAGAAGTGTAGTTGAAGAACTACAAGAACTCGAGGAAACGCATCCCGAAGCAGACGCTTCTTCAGCACACTCACCCCTGTGAGTTTTAAAAACCCCTAACGCAAATTTAAATTCAGAAATCTGTCTGTGTGTGCATTTTAAGCAGAGCATGTGTCTATGCGAAAAAGTATTACTCATTTTTAACAATGAAAAGATAATATTAAAAACAGATAAATAGCACTGTTGCTTCACATTGAATATGAAATACCATTAGCAGTATCTGTGTGGAGTTTGTTTGGTCTTCCTGTGTCCTGTGAGCTTCATCGGTACTTTGTACATGTTGTCATGCTGTGACCGACTCATTTCTCTATCCAACCAATCCAACAGGTGGGTGAGAGCCCTACAGCCTGACCCATTGTGCTGTCCCGCATCTTACAAGAAGCACTCGCCTCAGGAACGGCACCTGCTGAAAATGGCACACAACTTCCACTGTCAGTATGCCCACCTGTACCCCATCCGCAAACATCTACTGCTGTACCCACTCAACGAGTGTGGGGTCCAGGTATTCACGCACAGACGGACACATATACTGTAGGCAGGAGGACAGGCAGACAGACAGTCAAACACACAAACAGATTCACACAAACTGACATATATAGGTAGAGAAACAGGCAATCACACACAAACTCACACAAAAATGGACATATATATAGACAGCATACGGACAATCCCGCCCACAAACTCGCACCAATGCACACATAAAGTCATGCACAATCACACAGACAAACACATACAATCATTCAAACATACATGTTCACATTTCTTAGTGGGAACTATGACCTTAACTTCAAAGTGTGAAGCAGGTGAAATCTAAAAAGAATATTTTGGGTTATTAGTGTGTTTTTAAAATGAACGAAAAATGAATTTTGAAATGCATTCTTCCTGTTTCATTCATTACACTTCCTCTGAAGTGTTGGTGAGAATTCCTTACATTTATATGCGCTTTCCTCCTTGCAGAATGGCAAGAGGTATGTCTTTGTCTAGACCCAGACAGTACATGTTTACTCACAGTCATTCCTTGTTGGTCATCTTGGAAAAATCATGTCAACCTTTTCCAGTTTGATGAACAGTTATTCTCTTTAAATTGAAGAATTATATGAATATCCTTTCGTTTATACTCAGGCACATTTTAAATGTGCACATTTATTCACTTTCGTATTTGATGGAGTTGTTTTTGTCCAGGTTTCCCATCAGTTAGATTTTGGTATGTTAATGTGAGATGGTTTTCACGTGGTGTGTGGGGCTGGGGATGGGGATGTTCTCATGGAAACAGCTGGACACCCTGCTGGCTTTTGTATTTATAGTAGCTGTGATCTGTCTGTATTTAGGGAAACCAGAACTTGGCAAGTCTCTGAGGTTTTTAGGGCAAGAATCGCAGATCAGCATTCAGGGAAGATCACATTCAAGAATACTCTGGAATCTCACCCTCTGAGGGTTTCAATTGCTGTTTTGTAAAGGAACATATGAGGTGACATGTATTATTACACAATCAGAATTATTATTGAACTAAACCGTGAGGCTTGTACATTAATTCATTAATTTATTGCGTATTTTGATTGAAATCTTTTTTAAAGCACATGAAGATTTATTACTTATACCAATTTAAAGTTAAATCCTTTGACATTTTGGAAGATTACATGAATCACATGAAATGCATTATATGTGGTGAAGAACTGTTTTAAATCTAAATTTTATTTGGGATTGGTAATGATTTAATACAAAAGCACTTGTCACACTTCAGAGTCACATGCAGAGTAGTAGGGTAGCATATGACCCGTGCTGTTATTCTTCCGTCACGAACACACGGGATATTGGCTTGGAGGGGTTCCCAGTCATTCTGTCCCCTTGTCTCCCCTCCTGGACAGAAGTTTGTCAGTACCACCCTACAGCCCACCCTTCTGCCGTACCCTGAGCTCTACACCTGGGATGGGTGCTCCAGCTTGGTGTCTGACTTTTTGGCCCTGTTGCCTCTTGATCCCCCATTTGACCTGGTGAGTCCAAACAACACGATTTGGAAATGAATGCGGTATAATATAGTAGAGTATCATGTCAGTAGAGACATGATCATCATCGTAATAAACACAAACTGAAACCAGAACAAATACTGCCAGTTAAGTGCATTCTTTCATGACTGAGAAACATGTCCACTTAATGTAGAATGGGAGTTAAGGTTAAACGTTGAAACAGACTAGCCCTTTGTCTGGAAAACTGTAAAGGCCAATTCACACTTCACTTTTTCACATGCGCTTTTGGTCCGTGCACAGTGTGAGTGATTGTAAATTTTGTTTTCATGGCTTTGCCCCGGGCGGTGTGCGTGTAGCCCAGATTTTTATGTCCGCCAGAAATCATGCGATTGAGCATGTGCAAGGTGTTTCCAGGAGGTGGCAACACTAACTTTCACAGATCAGAGGTCAACCAAGCAAGAGTAGAGGAAGAATTGCCAATTCCTCTACACTGCTTATATTTCTGTGAGTTGCAATGCTTGCAATACATCTGCCCTCTGTGGTTTGCTGGAATATCGGCCATCTGAATATCAGCCATCTGCTTTCCACCAACTAATGTACTATGGACACATGATTCTGTGCTCAAGACTGTCCGTGGACCGAAAGCACACTTGGAGAAGTGAAGTAGGAACTAGGCCTAAGGCTTCAAACCACCACAAACAGTGACATAGTGAAGGTAATACAGCCATGACAGACACACAGCAATTACACAGCTCCTGGAAAATCATTGAATACATCAGAGCAAAGCTGATCAACGAGGAATAAACATGTCAGTGAATAGCCTGTGACAGTTGTCAGGTCATCAGGAAAGGGCATGGGCTATATCAAACAAAAGGGAAGATAGGAAAGCCCTAAAGTCAGGGCTGATGGGATTTGCAGTGGCAAACGGAAGCAAATGTAGACGTCACAGTATGTATACAGTAGGTCAAAGGTCAAAGTGAACTTTATTGTCATCTCCACTATATTCAAATATACAGAGAGACGAGACGATGTGGCTCCAGTTTAACAGAGTACACAGAACAAAAGGCACATAGAATTTGCATATATAAATACAAAAAATACACTATAAAAATATAAACTCTAAACCTAAGTAGACAAATATAAACTCAGTAGACCTGGAAAATCTGCAAATCAGTTACATGTGAAAAAAAGGTCTAAGTTGGAAAGAAAGAAAAAAAAAGTACCAGTCAAAAGTCTGGACACACCTACTGAAAATCATTTATTCTTCAATGAGATGATGACCCTAAGCACTCCTCCAGGTTATGTAGTAACAATTATCTAGTGAACAAGGGAAGAGTTGGAGTGCTGTGACAGGTGACCTACACCCCACAATCCCTCCCAACCTGAACCTGATACTACTGGTTTGGGATGAGTTGGATCAAAGAATAAGAGCAAGGTAGCCAACATGTGCCCAGAACCTGTGGAAAGTCTTTTGGGACTGTTGGAGAAGCATTCCAGGAGGCTACATGTGGAACCTGGTTGAAAAAAATGCCATGAGTCTTCAATCCTGCAATTGAAGCAAAAGAGAGCTATTAAGTCTAATATATGTATGTCTGACAAACTATAGGAAGTCCATATAGCTCACAATGCATGATTTACAACAAATGATTAAACTGAAATATAGAATAAGAAAGCTAATCAGTTACATCTTACAATGTAGACCATGTGTACATGCGTGATTCAGGTCTTATTTGGAGGTGTCTGTTATGTTCCTATAGCCTACGCATCTCTATTCCCCAACCTGGGTCCTAAAAACCCGAAGAGGCAGCTGCTTCGACTTCGCCACACTGCTCTGTTCCCTTTTGCTGGGTGCTGGCTATGACGCTTACTGTGTCAGTGGCTATGCTGTGAAGGAGACGTGTCTGCTCAACCAGTCATGCCAAGAGTGCCCCCTGCTGGTCATCCAAGACAAGGTCAGCAAAGACTTTGCGACCACAACCCAACAGATGTGGTATTGCTGGTTTCAGTGACATGTCTTGAGTAGATATTACCATTTCTAATCCCTGAATGGGATGGCAGTTCATTCCAGGACAATTCAGAGATGCAAATGTACCTAAAAGCATCTCTTTAGGCTGCTGGGAGGAACCCAGCACACAGTGTAGAGAGAACATTAAAATTC